CTAGAGTGCATTTGGATGATCCAGAAGAGGATTGGGAGAATGTCATATGGTCAGATGAAACCAAAATAGAACTTTTTGGTAAAAACTCAACTCGTCGTGTTTGGAGGACAAAGAATGCTGAGTTGCGTCCAAAGAACACCATACCTACTGTGAAGCATGGGGGTGGAAACATCATGCTTTGGGGCTGTTTTTCTGCAAAGGGACCAGGACGACTGATCTGTGTAAAGGAAAGAATGAATGGGGCCATGTATCGTGAGATTTTGAGTGAAAACCTCCTTCCATCAGCAAGGGCATTGAAGATGAAACGTGGCTGGGTCTTTCAGCATGACAATGATCCCAAACACACCACCCGGGCAACGAAGGAGTGGCTTCGTAAGAAGCATTTCAAGGTCCTGGAGTGGCCTAGCCAGTCTCCAGATCTCAACCCCATAGAAAATCTTTGGAGGGAGTTGAAAGTCCGTGTTGCCCAGCGACAGCCCCAAAACATCACTGCTCTAGAGGAGATCTGCATGGAGGAATGGGCCAAAATACCAGCAACAGTGTGTGAAAACCTTGTGAAGACTTACAGAAAACGTTTGACCTGTGTCATTGCCAACAAAGGGTATATAACAAAGTATTGAGAAACTTTTGTTATTGACCAAATACTTATTTTCCACCATAATTTGCAAATAAATTCATAAAAAATCCTACAATGTGATTTTCTGGATTCTTTTTTCTCATTTTGTCTGTCATAGTTGACGTGTACCTATGATGAAAATTACAGGCCTCTCTCATCTTTTTAAGTGGGAGAACTTGCACAATTGGTGGCTGACTAAATACTTTTTTCCCCCACTGTACCCATTGATTCTTGAAGAATATAACTTATAAATGCCTCATGAGCTTAGTTTAACTGTCGGTACGACCATCCGAACTCAAAATGTAAGCTTGTTTTACTCCAATGTTTGTAAACAATGTAAATGTAAACAAACACATTTGATATCATGGATGGTCAGTCGTTGCATCCATAGCTCTGTCTATGAATTTGAGAGTGGTTACATTTCTCAAGCCCCATCTCTTCGTTTTTTTATCGAAACGGGCAGGGAAAACACTTTGTTATTGTTTCATTTAAGGATTCTAGCTTTAAACGGGTACAAACGCTTGTAACTGTAGTGGTACCCTGTAAGGTATGTCCATTGTACCATTAGTTGTAGGTAAATAGTTGTACCCTTGCAGTTCGTACCTTAAAAGAGCCAATAGTGTACTATATAGTCCACAGGTACAAAACCGTACCTTTAGAAAAGGTACAAATGTGCATTTTAGGGTACCACCACAGTGACAAAGCACTTTTCCTTTTAAGTTGCAAAAAAAGTACTTCTTCTCCATATGAAGTCCCTCACTTGTACACACCATCCCACTTCTGACACCAATGGAGTGAATTCCGGGACAGTCCTGACCGGGACTCGAACCTGGGTCTAGTGATTGTCAAGCCAACATAACCATTACGCCAAGAGGTTTTACCTCCTGACAAGGTCTTTCAGTGTTGTGTGAAAGTCAGTACAAAAATAATTTAAACTCTTTATTGTCACATGCTCTTATGTAAGCCTTTATAAAGACTTCAGAACTGGCAGTGGACATGCTCAAACTTAAATTAACATAACCATAGACCACCTAAACTGGTACAACACTTAAACTCACGGGTGGCCAAAAATAACTAACTGAAAGCCACGCGGATTGGTATTATCTTCGTTGATAAAGGGGATAATAATAGTATAGTATAGGGTCGACGCACAGGGAAGCGAGTGTCTTATCTTAATGGAAAGTGAAGCAAGGAGACAAAGAGAATAAAAAGAGTAGTCAAAATACAACAGGGATTATGAAGCAGTGTTGGAAGGGAGCAGAGTATGAAAGATAACATTAACTGAGGAATATAGGAACTTGTAGCTGAGGTCACTACAGAAATATTACTGACACAATATCGTAACAGATAAACTGAACCATAAATGAAGCTACTACAGCAATTGATTGTTAATGTTGTTAAGTTAGTTTTTAAACCCTATGATAGAGGTAAATGCAGAAAGCTTTTTGAGAATGGTTTTTATTTGTTGTCGGGAGAATTTCCAGGTGTTGATCTGCGGGTGTTAGCAACTGGGGCTCGCTGAACGTGAGCGAGATATAAGTGTCATAATGGGTTAAATGTGGTGTACCCGGATCACTGGTTGCTGCGAAAAAGGAGGAAGTCAAAGGGGGGTGAATGTTACCGGTGTGGAAGGGCTAGCTAGTTAGTGGTGCGAACTAGTAGCGTTTAGAGTGGTGACGTAACTTGCTCTGCGACCTGGAAGTAGTTGTTTGCCTTGCTCTGCAAGGGCCGCTGCTTTTGTGGACCGATGGATAACGGTGCTTCGAGGGTGACTGTTGTTGATGTGTGCAGAGGGTCCCTGGTTCCAGCCCATGTAGGGAAGGAAGCAAAACTGTTACATTGATGCTGTTGACCTGAATCACTGCTTTAATTGATAAGATTATACGAAAGAGATTGTTTTACCAACCCATGGCGGCATAGGATAACATAGTAATTAAAGTGGCATACCTGTGAATAGATGTTTTGTTTGTTTTGACTAGAACTTCACAATAAATTGTCACCTGCTAATGTACCGTTAGATGGAAAGTCAGCGGTAGAGGATAATAGATATTATAGATGGTTTTTTGTATTAGAAGGAAAGTAGGTTAATTGGGAGATGAGAAATGTTGAATTGGATTGTTTGAAAAAGGAAAGTAGGTTAATTGGGAGATGAGAAATGTTGAATTGGATTGTTTGAGTAGACTGGTATTAAAATAATGCTTTCTAGTTATGTGAATGCAAATATGTTAGTAAGTAGTAGTGGTTGGTGGATAGAATTTACTAATGCCATGATTTAGTAAGAGAGTGAAAGAGAGTAGTGCTCGTTGGGCTATATTGGGATGTAAAGGATGCAGAGGGTCATGTGAAGCAGATGTCTGAATAGTGAAATATGGAACGTTCTTTGACAATTTTTAATTATTATTATTAAATTCTATAATTTGTTTAAACAACAGTAAGTTATGCAGACAGTTTATTAATTCTAAAAACGATAATCTGTTTCTGGTACGTTGAACAATGGGAGGTCGTTTTTACTATTAAGCTGATGAAGAAGTAAACATTCTTTTGTAGCGAAATGGTTAGCGAAATGGTTAGCGAAATGCTTGTGCTTCTAGTTCCGACAGTGCAGCAATATCTAGCAAGTAATATCTAACAGTTCCACAATAAAAACCTAATACACACAAATCTAAGTAAAGGAATGGAATAAGAATATATAAATATATGGATGAGCAATGTCATTATCACAGTGGCATAGGCTAATATGCAATAGATAGTATAGAATACAGTATATACACATATGAGATGGGTAATGCAAGATATATAAACATTATTAAAGTGACTAGTGTTCCATTTATTAAATTGGCCAGTGATTTTCAAGTCTGTATGTAGGCAGCAGCCTCTCTGTGCTAGTGATGGCTGTTTAACAGTCTGATGGCCTTGAGATAGAAGCTGTTTTTCAGTCTCTCGGTCCCAGCTTTGATGCACCTGTACTGACCTCGCCTTCTGGATGATAGCGTGGTGAACAGGCAATGGCTCGGGTGGTAGTTGTCCTTGGTTATCCTTTTGGCCTTCCTGTGACATCGGGTGCTGTAGTTGTCCTGGAGGGCAGGTAGTTTGTCCCCGGTGATGCGTTGTGCAGATCGCACCACCCTCTGGAGAGCCCTGCGGTTGTGGGCGGTGCAGTTGCCGTACCAGGCAGTGATACAGCCCGACAGGATGCTCTCAATTGTGCATCTGTAAAAGTCTGTGAGGGTTTTAGGTGACAGGCCAAATTTCTTCAGCCTCCTGAGGTTGAAGAGACGCTGTTGCGCCTTCTTCACCACACTGTCTGTGTGGGTGGACCATTTCAGTTTGTCAGTGATATGTACGCCGAGGAACTTAAAACTTTCCACCTTCTCCACTGCTGTCCCGTCGATGTGGATAGGGGGGTACTCCCTCTGCTGTTTCCTGAAGTCCACGATTATCTCCTTTGTTTTGCTGATGTTGAGTGAGAGGTTATTTTCCTGACACCAAACTCCGAGAGCCCTCACCTCCTCCCTGTAGGCTGTCTCATCGTTGTTGGTAATCAAGCCTACTACTGTTGTGTTGTCTCTGCAAACTTGATGATTGAGTTGGAGGTGTGCATTGCTACGCAGTCATGGGTGAACAGGTAGTACAGGAGGGGGCTGAGCATACACACTTGTGGGGCCCCAGTGTTAAGGATCAGTGAAGTGGAGATGTTGTATCCTACCTTTACCAACTGGGGGCAGCCCGTCAGGAAGTCCAGGACCCAATTGCACAGGGCTGGGTTGAGACCCAGGGCCTCAAGCTTAATGATGAGCTTGGAGGGTACTATGGTGTTGAATGCTGAGCTATAGTCAATGAACAGCATTCTTACATAGGTATTCGTCTTGTCCAGATGGGATAGGGCAGTGTGATGGTGATTGCATCGTCTGTGGACCTATTGTGGCGGTAAGCAAATTGAAGTGGGTCTAGGGTGACAGGTAAGGTGGAGGTGATATGATCCTTGACTAGTCTCTCAAAGCACTTCATGATGACAGAAGTGAGTGCTACGGGGCGAAAGTCATTTAGTTCAGTTACCTTTGCATTCTTGGGTACAGGAACAATGGTGGCCATCTTGATGCATGTGGGGACAGCAGACTGGGATATGGAGAGATGAATATGTCCGTAAACACACCAGCCAGCTGGTCTGCGCATGCTCTGAGGACGCGGTATGCATTAAAGAATGGTCATTTTTACAAGTATCGACTGATACCGACTCAATGTAGTCAGAGGTACACTCCGCCAAAACTCATCGCCTTTCAACTCTATTGAGTATCGTGGAGTTGAGAATTCTCAGCTACTAGCTAGATTGTGTACCTGCCATTGCCACTGAATATGAATCTGTAAGTGAAATACTCTTACTAAGAATGTTTTTGTTTCTAGAATCACAATCATCAAGGACACAAAAGTCCCTAACGCCTGCCTCTTCACGTTGAACAAAGAGGATCACACATTTGGTAACATCATCAGACAGTGAGTTCAACTATTACATTTCATTGGGTTTTTTGTGCAATAAATTATAATTGTAAACTCTTCATAACTTAATTTTCTTGTTTTTGCAGACAACTTCTGAAGGACCCCCAGGTGCTCGTTGCTGGCTATAAGGTCCCTCGTTCTCTGGAGCACAAGATTGTGATCCGTGTTCAGACCACACCAGACTACAGTCCTCAGGAGGCTTTCACTAATGCCATTACTGACCTCATCAGTGAGCTGTCGTTGTTGGAGGAGAGATTTAGGGTGAGTACATGATACATTGTCTGTGTATTTCGTGGAACAGTTCTAGTGTAGCGGACTGTCAATATATGATAACATTAAACAGTTGAAGTCGGAAGTTTATATACACTTAGGTTGGAGTCATTAAAACTCGTTTTTCAACCACTCCAAAAATGTCTTGTTAACAAACTATAGTTTTGGTAAGTCTGTTAGGACATCTACTTTGTGCATGACAGAAGTAATTTTTCCAACATTTGTTTACAGACAGATTATTCCACTTATAATTCACTGTATCACAATTGCAGTTGGTCAGTAGTGTACATACACTAAGTTGACTGTGCCTTTAAACAGCTTGGAAAATTCCAGAAAATGCTGTCATGGCTTTAGAACAGGGGTGTCAAATGTAGGCCCGCAAACGGGTTTAATCCGGCCCGCGAGATGATTTAAAAAAAAATATATATAAAAATGCGCTGCAATTTTTCAATAAAACAAACTGCTGTTCCAATTGCGTCCACTGGATGGAGCAATAGCAATTGTGTTAAGCAAGCAAACTGTTTATACCGGGGCAGAGCAAGTAGGTCAAGCACGTGCAGCCAATGAGCTACTTTGTTTTGCCCGCGATATTTATTACGGCTTCTACTTTTAACATTATGTGCTTTGGCACCCTTATTGCCCCAATATGTCTCTGTCAAAAAAGAGAAAAGTGGACGCAGAGTGCAGAGTGTTCCAAGAAAAATGGTCATCCTATTTAATCACGGAATTGAATGGGAAAGCTGTATGTTTGGTGTGTTCAGAGCATGTTGCAGTGCTGAAAGAATATAACCTTCGTCGCCACTATGTGAGTCTTCATGCCGACAAATATGACAACTTTCAAGGACAGCGGAGATGAGAGAAGGTGAATGAACTGTTGGCGGGTCTGAAGAAACAGCAGTCTGTGTTTACTCACAGCCGAGACCTCAGTGACGCTGCAGTGAAAGCTAGCTACCTCATTGCTAATGAAATCGCAGTGGCTTCAAAACCATTTAGTGAGGGTGAATTTGTAAAAACATGCATGATGAAGGCAGCGGAGATTGTGTGCCCTGAAAAGCGGCAGGCTTTTGCAAATATCAGCCTGACAAGAGACACAGTTGCAGACAGGATTTCCGATCTTTCAGTGGATTTGGACAGCCAGTTGAAGCAAAAAGTAAAGTCATTTATTGCGTTTTCGGTTGCAATTGATGAAAGCACGGACATTACAGATGTTGCACAACTGGCCATTTTTTCATCCGCGGAGTTGATGACACATTGACCGTCACCGAGGAGTTCGTGGAGTTGGTGCCGATGACAGATACAACGACAGCAGCTGATATTTTTACCGCACTCGTCGGCGCGCTGGACAGGGTCGGAGTGGACTGGTCCCGCGCTGTCAGCCTGGCTACAGATGGTGCGCCCTCAATGATCGGGAAAAAAGCAGGCGTTGTGACAAAGTTCAGAGAGAAAGTGCAATCTGCAAATGGAGGACGTGATTTTTTGACTTTTCACTGTATTTTGCACCAGGAGGCTTTGTGTTGCAAGTCATTAAAGATGGATAACGTCATGAAGGTGGTCATCCAAACTGTTAATTTCATCCGATCCAGAAGCCTGAATCACCGTCAGTTTAACAGCCTTCTCAGAGAGAAAGACCACATCTATGGCCTGCCATACCACACTGAGGTAAGATGGTTAAGCCGAGGTGCTGTGCTGAGGCGTTTCTTTGATTTACGAGAAGAAATTGAACAGTTCATGGAAGAAAAGGGCAAACCAGTGTTAGAATTTCATTCCGCAGAATGGATGCCGGACCTTGCATTTATGGTGGATGTTACAGAGCACCTGAATAACTTGAACAAACAGCTGCAAGGGCGCAACAAAGTTGTATTATGACAGCATACGTTCTTTCAAGTTGAAGCTGTCATTGTGGGAGACGCAACTTGCCGGTGGTGATGCAGCTCACTTCCCCTGTCTGAAAAATGTGTGCACGACCCAACATGTGGCAGACATGAAGCGGTTCAAAGATAAAATAACGGGACTGTTACGGGAGTTTGAGCAACGCTTTCAGATTTATGTTTATATGTTTTTATGTTGATGTGCTATTGTTTTTAATTGATTTTATTTTATTTGTATATTTAACCTATTCTTGACTCTGTGGTTCTTGCACTTGTTTGGGGAACAGGATTTCATTATTTTTTATCTACATTTCTGCCTGAGAAATGACACCCTGATATAGTTCTGTGATCTGTGATATACTTCTGTGAATCACTGAGGCATTGTGTGTTTGTGTGTTCTTTGTCCTCAGAACTTTCAAATAACTTGAGGTGTTTTATGATTAATAGTGATGTTGTGCTTTTGGACACTGTCCTCAGGCTCCAGCTTTATGTTTATATGTTTTTATGTTGATGTGCTATTGTTTTTAATTGATTTTATTTTATTTGTATATTTAACCTATTCTTGACTCTGTGGTTCTTGCACTTGTTTGGGGAACAGGATTTCATTATTTTTATCTACATTTCTGCCTGAGAAATGACACCCTGATATAGTTCTGTGATCTGTGAAACAGTTCTGTTAATCACTGAGGCATTGTGTGTTCTTTTTCTTTAGAATTTTCAAATAAACTTGACGTGTTTTATGATTAATAGTGATGTTGTGCTTGTACTATTTTGGACACACTGTCCTCAGGCTCCAGCTTTATGTTGTATGTTGATCGTATTAAAACAAAGAAAACAATCTGAAGTTGTTGTTTTAAAGTTATATATACCATGATTTTTCCGGTCCGGCCCACTTGGGAATAGATTTTCCTCCATGTGGCCCCTGAGCTAAAATGAGTTTGACACCCCTGCTTTAGAAGCTTCTGGAAGGCTAATTGACAACATTTGAGTCAATTGGAGGTGTACCTGTGGATGTATTTCAAGGCCTACCTTCAAACTCAGTGTGATTTGAAACTGAGCTTCTGAGATCATACTGTGGTTTGGTTCATTCAAAACAGAAGCACATGTTGTTGAACTCATTCGAATCCAATACTGTACTGTAGTTATAACCAGCTAAAAGTTGACAAGCATGGTTTAAAACTATTTCATGGAAATATTTTGCATGATATTAATTGCTGTTAAATGTTTTCGTTTTGCAATGCCCAACATGCTGCTTATTTGGCCCTATATTGTCTGAGAATAATTGTTTGTTATGTACTGTAAGGTTTGTTTTTGTTTTTAAATAAATCATTTTAATAATATTTATTCATCCCTTTTACAGTCTTACAACGCCACTATAGCAAGCATTAGTGATTACAAAATGAGACACTATTGTGAAAAGAGCAAATCAACATTTTATTTATTCTACTGTATTTTATGCATTTTGCCTTGCGGAACTTAATGCATTTGATGTTTTTGCTACGTCCTGTTTTGGTGGGACACGTAACGTGATCTACTAATGGCGACGGAAATTGATAATGGGAACTGTGGTTGTAAGGGAATTCGAACTTGTTTATTATGTGAGACTGTGAATGGAAATGGACTATTATCGGAGAATGGTCAACCGGTAAGTCTGTGTTCACTGAAAAATAGATAATGTAAATAAGATCCTGTTCAGTTGCTAGACACAGAGCTCTGAAGCAAACGCCGGTAGCCAGCTAGCCCCCCTATCTGCTCTCCTCTGACTGAGCACTGTCAACAAATACATCATAAAATAGCTAAACAACAGTAATAAGAATTATTACTGTTTAGCTTTATGATGTATTTGAAAAGCACTTATTACAGCACTGACTTCATGAATTCCCTTAAACAGATTTGTTGACTTTCTTTAGATACGACACGATTTTATTTACGACCCATTGCTGAGACGAGCTGTGCGCAATTATGGTGGGCAGCAGCTGTCTTTTCCCTTCCCTGGAATATTTTTATGGGACAACTTCATATCAGAAGAGGAGGAGAGTGAGTTGATAACCAATATGGACCTTAACGCCTGGAGAGAGTCACAGTCTGGTCGACGGAAACAGGTTTGTTGTCATCTTCCGTTTGCTGCAAGTTGTTAATAGCAAGATTACGCAATTTTGGCAAGTGAATAGGGTCTGGCAGCATGAGTTGCGCAATCATCTCTGACGTTTACATTTTAGTCATTTAGCAGACGCTCTTATCCAGAGCGACTTACAGTTAGTGAGTGCATACATTTTCATACTGGCCCCCCGTGGGAAACGAACCCACAACCCTGGCGTTGCAAGCGCCATGCTCTACCAACTGAGCTACAGGGGACCCTGACAATGGCCAGTGTTTCACTCTTTATCATGGGAGGTACCCTTATTAGCAACCATTCACTCCTAACCAGAAAGAATAACCCACTTTAAAAATAAATGTCTTTACAGGACTTTGGGCCTAAAGTGAACTTCAAAAAACGTAAAGTGCGTCTTGGTGGCTTCTGCGGCCTGCCTGCGATCAGCCGTAATCTGGTGCTGCGGATGTCCCAGGAGCCGGTCCTAGCTGGGTTTCAACCAGTGGAGCAGTGCAACCTGGATTACCACCCCCAGCGTGGGTCTGCCATTGACCCCCACCTGGATGACAACTGGCTGTGGGGGGAGCGTCTGGTCACCGTCAACCTGCTCTCAGACACCACTCTCACAATGTCCCTGGAGGAGGGCCTGACAGAACTAGGAAAGGGGGAGGTCCGGGTGTCTGTTCAACTTCCCCGCAGATCCCTTGTGGTGGTATACAGCGAAGCACGTCACAGATGGAAACATGCCATCCATAGACATGACATCCATGAGCGCAGGGTGTGCAGTACCTACAGGGAGCTGTCTGCTGAGTTCTTGTCTGGGGGAGAGGAGCAAAACGTGGGCTCCCAACTGCTGGACATAGCTCTGAGCTTTGAGGGTACACCGATATAGAGAGAATGTAATAATCACTGTTTCAATTTTTTCTATCTTATGTCCTGCACCACCCACATTACAATGTGACTCGTTGGTTGACTGAAAGCAGCCTCTATGCACTCTATTTTGACATGCTTTGGCTAAGAATGGCAGAATACAGTTGGATTGTTTGATTAATTTAACCGTAAAACTCAGTTCTTATAACTATGTAATAACACGATGACACGTTGTACTGCATTTCTTGCTTGGAATGTGTATTTGAGTGTATTTTGTAAAATAAATCTCAGACCATTGAAATACTATGTATTGTAGTGATTGGCTATTGCATTTGTGGATACTCACACTGCTCTCAGGGCAGGTCTGCCGGTTTTGACTAGCAGAAGTGACTTTTCGTAACAGGTTAGGATAATTTATGTAGCAGGTTAGGAGAACTTACGGGTCAGGTTAGGAAAATAGTTATCTAAAATTGTCCCCTGACGTGACTCGAACATATCTAGCTACAACCAGGCCTGCCCTGAGAACAGTCTTGGTTTCCACTCATGCGATTCTGCGCGCATGTTATTCATGTGTGGTTCTCATCGCCCAGTTACAGTTTGGGAATGTTATAAGGTGTTGCACCCAGTGTTGGGGAGCTAGTAGACGACTCAAGGTTTATGACATGGACAACGTAATATTCAGTTTCTGCCAGAGCGTCCTATTCACAAGACTTAACTAATATTGCAAGTTACTGCATTGTATGAGTGTATGTTTCGGCTGTCAAATGAGGACATTAAACTTGACCATCTAGCTATCTTTGCAGCCCTTTCACTAGCCCTTGGTCATGACTCAGTTCCATTACATTACACATAAGAGTCATTGGACGAAGGCGTCTTCTCCACGGGTAACTTTTGTTAAGAGCCCGGACGCTCAATCTGAACATTAACACGCTTCGCTTGCGGTACAGTTTTCGAAGCAAATTGACCTTATTTTTTAATATCAGCGAGAAATCATTTTCAAAAAAACAAAAGGTTAAATTTATACACCCCTTGATAGGGTTAGGGTTCCCACACGGCAATATCTTCGTGTTACAGCTCTTGTTTATGGAATGCGCCGAACACCTGTGTGTAAGCGTAACTCGGGAAGTGTAGTTTCATGGGATGGAGGCGCCCATAGTTGTATGGATCTGTGCATAACTGCTACAGTAAGTGTACATTTTTTATTTTAACGATTCTTTCTCGCTGATGAAAGATCAGGGACATATGTTTCGAAAGCCGTATCGCAAGCAATTATTATTGACGTTTCTAAACGTTAAAACACAGCGTCGGGATTGTAGTTTACATGAGCCAGTCGTGGGCAAAGCTAATGGCTGAAAGCTGTGGTTAGAAGGCAGAATGCCGCCTACCCTTTCACCTTACTAAGTCAAACCATGACAGTACTAAGATCCTGATAACGGTGATGTTATCAGGATCTTCTCAGGTAAATTATTTTTTGGAGATTTTCTATTTTATTTACTACCTTAAATAGGTACTTCATTGTTTTTGTTTTTTAATCTACTTTGCCACACTCAATATGGCGGCCCTCCGGCTCCTACCGGATGGAACGTTGATGAATACCCATGTGACTGGCTTGTCAATTTTTTTCCCGGGTAAATTACGGAGATTCCTCTGTGCACAGGTACGTAGAGCTTATACTACTATATATAAATGATCTAGTTGAATTAACTGTTTAGTCATAATTAAAACATAAAAAGAATTATAGTTATAACAGCAATTCCTGACATTATTTGAATAGCAATGAGCTTGAGTGAACGTGGCATGAGCGTAAATTGGCAGCTATCGTTTTCGATAGTATTGTGAAAAGTCTTCAGTTTCACATGAGTTTTTGTAACAAAACAAAAACATTTAATTAACAGTTAATGGATGCACGGCCTTTGTAAATTTTGGCACACCTACTTGTCTTTGCAAAGTACAGACGTCAAACAGTGATGCAAATATCTGTTGCTCGAACATCCACAGTATCGTTCTACAGCATTGTTCTATCTTGACTCATCGTGTGGTCTCTCACCAGTTGTTTCTCACGTTTAAGTTTCAATCACCTTTTACTGCAGATGATAGTCACGCCCCTAGATGTCTGCGACCATACATACTCTACATATGACCAAACTAGCTTTTACTCTTTGCTTGTACAGGCTAGACATGGAGAAAATAACAAAGAAACTATTGCTGGAGAAATGCACTCCAAAAACCACCAAACTGGAACAAATAAAGACACTAAAGTAAGTAAAGGCTGGTTCCTCTGTAGACTGGGGAATGTTATCAAACTAGGAGTGGAGAATGGCTTTGTCAAAGCAAAATGTATGTCTGAAGACCATGTTAAGTCGTGTTAATGGATCTGTATTTTGTCTCAATCCTATGGGAACCGTTTTTGAGAAAGAGCAGAACTACTTTAATACCTTGTTAGAGAAATTATGTTATTTAGGCCAGGCATGTCTATTTTACCATTTTGTCTGGTGTTGCTAGTACTGACCCAGTGCATCCCCATAAAGTCTCTCCAAGCTCGGTCTGAAGAGCAGTGACCTGCCTGTCCCCCTGCTTTCTCACCTTCGCTGTCTGGAACAGTTGGACCTGTCTGGGAACAGACTTCAGGAGATGCCCCCGGGGCTCTTCCTTCCCTCCCTACGCACTCTGGACCTGACCAACAATGAGATGGAGGACGTCACCACTCTGGACACACTGACCACCCTGGAGGAGCTGAGGACGGAGGACAACCTCTACGTCACTGTGAGGATCCACTGCGCTGTTTCTCTCCTTTTATTCTGCCTTCAGTCACTGTTGCTCTCATTCTCATTGTATGATGTTTGTTTTTCTCTGATAGTGTTGTAACGCTCAAACTCTGTTTCTTTGTTTACCAATTCCAACTGTAATTTCTGTCACCTTTTCAGTATGCTATTTGTCATTCTCATATCTCCATTTTACTAACAATGACTGCCCATTGGAACGCATTGCTAATGCTTGTGTCTCGCAGGTGAATGACGACTACAAGCTGATGATCCTCCTGCCAAAGTTGAGGATTTACAATGGGAAGGATATCAGCACTGCAGCCAACCACATACGCTATGTCAACAGTGAGAACCTCAGGAAGAGGGTATGAGCCACTGTGTTCAAATTCATTCCAAAACACTTTGCCCTTGATTTGTTTGCCATTTACCTGCTGTTCTTACCTGATAAAAATGGTAATTATATAATAAGTTTTTGTGTCTTTCATCAAACAAGCACTGTTATGCATCATTTGCGTAAAAGTAGTTACCAATTCCGTAGAATTCTTTGAAATATTTGGTTTCTAGGTGTTAGCAGTATGGGAGACCAGCTTCTCTCTCCCTGACCACCGAACAACAGAGAAACTAGCCACTGTGGAGAGGGATTTTGTCAATGCGGTGCGTCATAAGGTGAAATATGGCCCCAGCTCTCTGACTGACTACACAAAATGGAGGGTAGGTTTTAACTGCTTATTACATTTATCTTGTCCTCATAAGGACAATGATTTTAGTTTATCGGAGTACATACCCCAAACTGGAACCATGTATATTCTCTCACTGGTTTATGACATTGCCTCTTAGGTTTCTGGCATTGTCTCATTGGTTTCTGACATTCTATCACTGGCTTCTAGGTGGAGATGATAGCTAAAGAGCACCTTCGCTCTTTGACTGAGCCAAATGATGAGGACAGAGATACAGAGGAGCCTGCTGATACAAACAAGAACTGTGTAAGGATTTAGTAGTCATTACTATAAGCACCCTGCTCTGAATTATTTTCATAGAGTTTATGTTCAAATGGTTGTTATTATTTAAGCAGGTCTTGTTATAAGTGCTGTGTTTGGATCATAAATAAATATTTGTAATAGATGGTAAATAGCTAAATGTAGCTAAATAGCAAAAGTTTACGGACAAAGCTTTTACGTAACTGTTAGATTAATTGTGCACCTTTCCTTTATGATAAGATGCATTTCCCCATGTTTTTCAGAGTTTTCCTTTCCCAGCCAAGAGGAAGCGTTCCGCCTCGGCTGCCGAATGCGATGTAACCCTAACCCCTCAGAAAATAACCAGAGCGAGTGTTCAAGCGGAGTCCAGCCATCGAAGCACCCCTCACAAGGCAGAGTGGCCCACCAGCGCCACTGCAAGGCCCCATAAGGCAGCACAGACCCCAGCCACCCGCACCAGGGGCCAGTCCAAAGTCCTGGTGACCCCCAGGAAAGGCCTGAGAGAGCAGCAACATCAGTCCAAAGAAGACATGCCACAGGCCAAACAGACCCGCACCCCTACCAAGTCTGCCAGGCAACAGCGGTCCACAGAGGTCAACGAGACGCCTGGGAAAGTAATCTGCACCAAGTCTCAGGTATGATTTTCTAGTCTTGGTTTTTTGTTGGTATAGCACATGCTAGTACTATGCTCAATATAGATTCGGTGTGACTTTAGCTGGAGACTTGATGGTTGCTCATTATGCGGACATTAACTCCTCATTGATTAACACAGGAACTCACCCATCAATCCATCCCCCACCCTGTCCACTGTACCCCCGTTATCCTCCCCTCCATCTCCCCTATCATTCATCACAGGAGCCAGTGAGTCTGCAGCCTCTTCACGTCCTGCAGTGTCACAGTAAACAGGACAGCCCTGATGACTTTAGCACCCAGCTGTGGGCCTGTTCCTTCCAGCCCCCGCTAGACCGCTATGGAGGTGAGTCCTGTCCTTCAATGGGGTCTGAGTGTGTTTGGAGGGGGGTGGTTACAAGGAAATTGAGAGTATAAGTTGGAGAAACATGCAAACATGATAAGCTCCACAGAAACGGCGTTAAAGAAAATCTGCTCTAGCAGACCCTGTGTTCTTCTCCCTGTCATGTTGCAGATGTGAATGGTGCGACTCGTATTGTGGCAACGTGTGGAGGAGAGTCTGTGTGCCTGATCGACTGTGAGACGGGACTAGTTATGAAGAAGTATAAGGTCCCTGGTGAGGTCAGTCCTGCTTCTGCGCATGTACCATTTTTCCTGATAGGGCCATTTAGCTTGGTAGAAAACATCATACTTTATCTCACTATTTTCTCGTTTATCATGCACATTCCATGTTAGAAAACTATAAAATAAATTGTGAATGAATGGGGATAAAAAATTCAGATGTATAATTCCACCCCTCAGGAGTTCTTCTCTCTGGCATGGTCAACTGTGCTGATGTCACGAGAGGGCAATGGTGGCATGCGGCCCTGCAGTATCCTAGCGGCAGGGGGGAAGCGAGGCCTTGTGAAACTGCTTCACCCCAGCGCCAACATGGCGTACGGAGAGTTCCGAGCCAGCCGCAAAGCCCTCTCCATCCTCCGCTTCAGCCCCCGCCAGGGCAACTTCCTCTTCAGTGAGTGGCCACTTCCTGTTTATCTTCTACACTGAACAAAAATATAAACGCAACAATTTAAAAGATTTCACTGAGTTACAGTTCATATAAGGAAATCAGTCAATTTAAATCAATTAATTAGGCCCTTATCTTTGGATTTCACATGACTGGGAATACAGATTTGCATCTGATCACAGATACCTTAAAAAAAAAAGTAGGGGTCGTGGATCAGAAAACCTGTCAGTATCTGGTGTGCCCACCATTTTCCTCATGCAGTGCGACACATTTCCTTCACATAGAGTTGATCAGGCTGTTGATTGTGGCCTGTGGAAAGTTGTCCCACTCCTCTTCAATGGCTGTGCGAAGTTGCTGGATATTGGCGGGAACTGGAACACACTGTTGTACATGTCGATCCACAGCACTTCCAGGAATTGTGTACAGAACCTTGCGACATGGGGCCGTGCATTATCATGCTGAAACATGAGCCGATGGCAGCGGATGAATGGCACGTCAATGGGCCTCAGGATCGCTACAATTCAATTGTGTTCGTTGTCCGTAGCTTATGCCTGCCCATACCATAACCCCACCGCCCCCATGGGGCACTCTGTTCACAACGCTGACATCAGCAAACAGCTTGCCCATACGGCACCACACACTCTGTCTGCCATCTGCCCGGTACAGTTGATACCAGGATTCATCTGTGAAGAGCACACTACTCCAGCGTGCCAGTGGCCATCGAAGGTGAGCATTTGCCCACTGAAGTCGGTTACGACGCAGAACTGCAGTCAGGTCAAGACCCTGGTGAGGATGACGAGCATGCAGATGAGCTTCCCTGAGACAGTTTCTGACAGTTTGTGTAGAAATTCTTTGGTTGTGCCATCACACAGTTTCATCAGCTGTCCGGGTGGCTGGTCTCAGACTATCCCGTAGGTGAAGAAGCCGGATGTGGAGGTCCTGGGCTGGCGTGGTTACAGTGGTCTGCGGTTGTAAGGCCGGTTGGATGTACTGCCAAAATCTCTAAAACAACGTTGAAGGCGGCTTATGGTAGAGAAATGAACATTCAATTCTCTGGTAACAGCTCTGGTGGACATTCCTGCAGTCAGCATGCCAATTGTATGCTCCCTCAATTTGAGACATCTGTGGCATTGTGTTGTGTGACAGAACTGCACATTTTAGTGTCCTTTTATTGTCCCCAGCACAAGGTGCACCTGTGTAAGGATCATGCTGTTTAATAAGCTTCTTGATATGCAACACCTGTCAGGTGGATGGATTATCTTGGCAAAGGAGAAATGCTTACCAACAGGGCTGTAAACAAATTTGTGCACAGCATTTGAAGAAAATACGCTTTTTGTGCGTATGGAAAATTTCGGGGAAGTTTTATTTCAGCTCATGAAACATGGGACCAACACTTTACATGTTGTGTTTATATTTTTGTTCAGTGTATTTTATCTAGTGGTCTTATAAGCTTAGTTGGTTAGAGCATAACATCATGGTTGTAGGTTCTATACCCCAATAGAAGGGTCAAAAGGCACCAAACTGCACGTACTGAGGTGGTACAGTACCTGAACTCTGAAGTCCAATTGAAGTCCCTATGCTAAATAAGTGTGATGTATTGTGATATGTTGTATGTATGCTCCCTCGTTCAAACCTTCTATTTTTTCCCCCAGCTGGGTCGTATGATAAAAATATATTAATGTGGGACATTGGCGGAGTGGACAGCGAGTACAATTTCAAAGTCATGTGAGTTTACTCTGACAGTTGTTTATATCTGGGTTTTTGTTATTGTGGGCAAATTTATTTTGTTCACAAGTTTTGAGTCTAAAATGTATCACAATGTTAACAAAGTGGACACACTTCAACATTGTCTGTGACATTATGCTCAATCAGAGTATAATGTTGACATATTTTTGCTTTACTCATCTCATATGTACAGTGCCTTGCAAAAGTATTCAGCCCCCTTGGCGTTTTTCCTATTTTGTTGCATTACAACCTGTAATTTAAATGGATTTTTATTTGGATTTAATGTAATGGACATACACAAAATAGTCCAAATTGGTTAAGTGACATTTAAAAAATAACTTGTTTCAAAAAATTCAAAAAATAAATAGCGGAAAAGTGGTGCGTGCATATATATTCACCACCTTTGCTATGAAGCCCCTAAATAAGATCTGGTGCAACCAATTACCTTCAGAAGTCACATAATTAGTTAGATTGCACACAGGTGGACTTTATTTAAGTGTCACATGATCTCAGTGTGTATATATACACCTGTTCTGAAAGGCCCCAGAGTCTGCAACTCCACTAAGCAAGGGGCAACACCAAGCAAGCGGCACCATGAAGACCAAGGAGCTCTCCAAACTGGTCAGGGACAAAGTTGTGGAGAAGTACAGATCAGGGTTGGGTTATAAAAAAATATCTGAATCTTTGAACATCCCACGGAGCAACATTAAATCCATTATTTACAAAAATGGAAAGAATATGGCACCACAACAAACCTGCCAAGAGAGGGCCGCCCACCAAAACTCACGGACCAGGCAAGGAGGGCATTAATCAGAGAGGCAACAAAGAGACCAAAGATAACCCTGAAGGAGCTGCAAAGCTCCACAGCGGAGATTGTCCATAGGACCGCTTTAAGCCGTACACTTCACAGAGCTGGGCTTTACGGAAGAGTGGGCAGAAAAAAGCCATTGCTTAAGGAAAAAAATGAGCAAACATGTTTGGTGTTCGCCAAAAGGCATGTGGGAGACTCCCCAAACATATGGAAGAAGGTACTCTGGTAAGATGAGACTAAAATTTAGCTTTTTGGCCATCAAGGAAAACGCTATGTCTGGCGCAAACCCAACACCTCTCATCACCCCGAGAACACCATCCCCACAGTGACGTATGGTGGTGGCACCATCATGCTGTGGGGATGTTTTTCATCGGCAGGGACTGGGAAACTGGTCAGAATTGAAGGAATGATGGATGGCGCTAAATACAGGGAAATTCTTGAGGGAAACCTGTTTGTCTTCCAGAGATTTGAGACTGGGACGGAGGTTCACCTTCCAGCAGGACAATGACCCTAAGCATACTGCTAAAGCAACACTCGAGTGGTTTAAGGGGAAACATTTAAATGTCTTAGAATGGCCTAGTCAAAGCCCAGACCTCAATCCAATTGAGAATCTGTGGTATGATTTAAAGATTGCTGTACACCAGCGGAACCCATCCAACTTGAAGGAGCTGGAGTTTTGCCTTGAAGAATGGGCAAAAATCCCAGTGGCTAGATGTGCCAAGCTTATAGAGACATACCCCAAGAGACTTGCAGCTGTAATTGCTGCAAAAGGTGTCTCTACAAAGTATTGACTTTGGGGGGGGATGAATAGTTATGCACGCTGAAGTTTTCTGTTTTTTTGTCTTATTTCTTGTTTGTTTCACACAAAATATTTTGCATCTTCAAAGTGGTAGGCATGTTGTGTAAATCAAATGATACAAACCCCACCAAAATCCATTTTAATTCCAGGTTGTACGGCAACAAAATAGGAAAAATGCCAAGGGGGGTGAATACTTTCGCAAGCCACTGTATATACTGTATTCTGTTCTACTGTATTTTAGACTATGCCACTCCGACATTGCTCATCCTAATATTTCTAATATTTATGTATTCCTTAATTCCATTCTTTTACTTTTAGGTTGTGTGTATTGTTGTGAATTGTTAGATATACTGCACTGTTGGAGCTAGAAACACAAGCCTACACCCGCAATGACATCTGCTAAACATGTGTATTTGACAAATAAAATTTGATTTGATATCGGATGTCTCTGCCCTGGTGTTAACACATTTTATGGCCCAATAGTCAGCTGTTGGTGTTGGAGACTACCTCCACACCCCTGCACTTCTGCTTGCCCCCCGCCACCCCAGACACACACCTCATCGCTGCCTGTGAGGATGGGCTGCACAGCTACAACATCCAGCTCAACAAAAACACCAAGAAGAGGTGATCCATAGTGTGTGTGTCTTTGTCTGTGTGTGCCTGCATTGAGAGACATTGAAAGACTGCTGCCTGAGCGTCAACTCACGGTCTTCTTTCCCCTCCACAGGTCTGAGGAGATGGAGATCACATTCCCTGTGTATGAGAAGAAAGACAAGGACCATGACTACCACACCATCGATGGCTTGGGATTCCTCACAGACGACATCGTCGGTGAGTCAACTGCTCCTGTTTTGATCTGACACTGGCCCTGTTATTAGATTGTCTTTTAGGACTTTGGTCGATTTTATTTTACTTGACTGGAATTCAATAAACTTTATTGATCCCTAGTGCGGGAAATTGGGTTTGTAATTTGAATAAATCTAGTATGGGTCGATCCATTGACAAGCGCAAACCCTGTAAATCATCCCTCCCCCTCTCTTTACCCTCCACATCTCTCCTTTCCCACTGTCCCTTTCCTCCTCTTCACTTTCTGTCCATCTTTTCTATCCCTCTCTCCCTCTCAGCCTCTAAGAGCCACATGCAGGGCTCGATTTACCTGTGGAGCTGGAATGACACGCGAGCCCAGTGCCCCAATAATAATAATAAGAAGAAGTGTGCTGTGATCCTGGCGGAGCTGCAGTGGTCCAGCACGGACATCCCCTACCTGTCCCTCAACACCTGCCCCAGTGAGTCACAACACGTCACAGCATGTCACAACAACACGGCAACATGTCACAACACAGCATTTCATAGCATGTTCCAGCATGTAACTCTTTCAGTCAAGACCATACTGTGTATTGATCGAACCCACTGTCTTAAAATTCCTATACAGACATGACACAATTGAAGGAATCACCCCCACAACCGTTGACTATTCCTTTAAATTGTGGGACACAACACACAAAGAACACAGAAAAAAAGTTTTCATCAAGACCCTTACTGTATTAAACTGTTCAATGTGAATGAGAGTGTATGTTCTTCTTTACCAGGTAAAGGCTACGTGGTGTGTGGTGACGAAAGAGGGAGACTGTGGACGTACCATGTAACAGACCTCAAGGCCAACTTTAGGCGTGGCAAAACAATTCCTGCCACAGAGGTACTTATTAGTGAAACTACTTATTAAAGTGATAGTTTACTCCCAAATAAAAATGTGTCAGATAGGTTTCAGACCTTAAAAGTGGTCTACTGTTGAGATTAATCAAATCAAATTGTATTTATCACATCTGCAGAATACAACGGGTGTAGACCTTACCGTGAAATGCTTACTTACAAGCCCTTAACCAACAATGCAGTTCAAGAAATAGAGTTAAGAAAATATTTGCAAAATAAATTAAAGAAAAACATAAAATTATAACACAAAATAACAATACTGAGGCTATATACAGGGGGTACCGGTACCGAGTCAATGTGCGGGGGTACAGGTTAGTCGAGGTAATTATCCATGTCCTAGCCATCTGTTGTGAAGATCCAGCTATATGACTCAATCCTAAATAAATGGGAAAGATGGTCACCATCTAACTTGAGCCATATTGAACAAAATATTGAGCCACTCCAGGGTTTCCGTTAACCGGTTAATTGTCCAGGAGAAGAAGAAAAAATCTCATTGCAAAATAATAATGCTTTTTAGCTTATTCATTAATGGAAATATCAGTCGATGGAAATACATTTGACTGGTAATGCTTATCGGTCTATAGTTACATTTGCATAATTTAGTGGAATTAAATTGGCACGTGGGTACAGTATATTTGTTATGTATATTATTTTTCACACGCGTACAGCATACAGAGAGCCTTTTGAGCAGAAAATCTGTCAGACAGTGAGAGAACTGATGCTACAGCATCTCAAACAGCAAATGCATAGGCAACGGAAGGCAGGCTTCATCAGCTTGTCACACACCACTTTGCAATAAGATGGAGGCAATATGTATTTGGAAACATATACTTAATTGTTTGAAACCTGAAGGTTTTAATACATATTATGAGGCATGTCTTACCTTGCTTCAAAATAGCCTAGCTAAAATCAGATCATATCTGTGGAAGCAATTGTTTTATATCAAATGTATTTCAGTGTCCTGTAGCCAAAGGCACAATCCTTATTTTTTGGGGGGGTAGATCAGCTTTAATATTGCAGATTGTAGCTTCCATCAATGTCATTGTCTGCATAATTTCCAATCCCCCATATATTTTATTGGTGTATATACAGGTTTTTAGACATACTTGCTAATTTATAAAAAAAAACAAAAAAAAAAAAACACCTTTAGCAGCGATTACAGCCGTGAGTCTTCTTGGGTATGACGCTACAAGTTTGGCACACCTGTATTTGGGGAGTTTCTCCCATTTTTCTCTGCAGATCCTCTCAAGCTCTGTCAGGTTGGATGGGGAGTGTTGCTGCACATCTATTTTCAGGTCTCCAGAGATGTTCGATCAGGTTCAAGTCCGTGCTCTGGCTGGGCCACTCAAGGACATTCAGAGACTTGTCCTTAAGTCGCTCCTGCGTTGTCTTGGCTGTGTGCTTATGGCCGTTGACTTGTTGGAAGGTGAACCTTCGCCCCAGTCTGAGGTACTGAGCGATCTGGAGCAGGTTTTCATAAAGGATCTTTATGTACTTTGCTCTGTACATCTTTGCCTCGATCCTGTCTAGTCTCCCAGTCCCTGCCGTTGAAAAACATCCCCACTGCATGATGCTGGCACTACCATGCTTCACCGTAGGGATGGTGCCAGGTTTCCTCCAGATGTGACACTTGGCATTCAGGCTAAAGAGTTCAATCTTGGTTTCAACAGACCAGAGAATCTTGTTTCTCATGGTCTGAGAGTCTGTAGGTGCCTTTTGGCAAACTCCAAGCTGGCTGTCGTGCCTTTTACTGAGGAGTGGCTTCCGTGTGGCCACTCTACCATAAAGGCCTGATTGGTGGAGTGCTGCAGAGATGGTTGTCCTTCTGGAAGGTTCTCCCATCTCCACAGAGGAACTGTAGAGCTCTGTCAGAGTGACCATCGGTTTCTTGGTCACCTCCCTGACCAAGGCCCTTCTCCCCGATTGCTCAGTTTGGCCGGGCGGCCAGCTCTAGGAAGAGTGTTGGTGGTTCCAAACTTCTTCCATTTAAGAATGATGGAGGCCACTGTGTTCTTGGGGACCTTCAATGCTGCAGAAATGTTTTGCTACCCTTCCCAGATCTGTGCCTTGACACAATCCTGTCTCGGAGCTCTACGGACAATTCCTTCGACCTCATGGCTTGGTTTTTGCTCTGACATGCACTGTCAACTGTGGGACCTTATATAGACAGCTGTGTGCCTTTCCAAATCAGGTCCAATCAATTGAATTGAATGTACCACAAATGGACTCCAATCAAGTTGTATTAACATCTCATGGATGATCAATGGAAACAGGATGCACCTGAGCTCAATTTAGAGTCTCTTAGCAAAGGGTCTGAATACTTATTTAAATAAGATATTTCTGTTTTTAATTTTTAATATATTTGCAAAAATGTCTACCAACCTGTTTTCGCTTTGTCATTATGGGGTATTGTGTGTAGATTGCTGAGGATACTTTTTAAAAAAAATGGATTTTAAAATAAGGCTGTAACGTAACAAAGTGGAAAAAGTCAAGGGGTCTGAATACTTTCCGAAGGCACTGTGTATGTATGTACAGTACCAGTCAAAACTCATTCAAGGGTTTTTCTTTATTTTTACTATTTTCTACATTGTAGAATAATAGTGAAGACATCAAAACTATGAATTAACGCATATGGAATCATGTAGTAACCCAAAAAGTGTTAAACAAATCAAAATATATTTTATATTTGAGATGCTTCAAATAGACACCCTTTGCCTTGATGACAGCTTTGCACACTCTTGGCATTCTCTCAACCAGCTTCACCTGGAATGCTTTTCCAACAGTCTTGAAGGAGTTCCCACATATGCTGAGCACTTGTTGGCTGCTTTTCCTTCACTCTGCGGTCCGACTCATCCCAAACCATCTCAATTTGGTAGAGGCCAGGTCATCTGATGCAGCACTCCATCACTCTCCTTCTTGGTCAAATAGCCCTTACACAGCCTGGAGGTGTGTTGGGTCATTGGCCTGTTGAAAAACAAATGATAGTCCCACTAAGGCCAAACCAGATGGGATGGCGTATCGCTGCAGACTGCTTTGGCAGCAATGCTGGTTAAGTGTGCCTCGAATTCTAAATAAATCACAGACCGTGTCACCAGCAAAGCTCCTCCACACTATAATACCACCTCCTCCATGCTTTACGGTGGGAAATACACATGCGGAGATCATCCGTTCACCCACACCGCGTCTCACAAAGACACGGCGGTTTGAACTAAAAATCTCAGATTTGGACTCCAGACCAAAGGACACATTTCCACCGGTCTGATGTCCATTGCTCGTGTTTCTTGGCCCAAGCAAGTTTCTTCTTATCAAATCAAATCAAATTGTATTGGCCACATGTGCATAATACAACAGGTGCAGACATTACAGTGAAATGCTTACTTACAGCCCTTAACCAACAGTGCATTTATTTTTTATTTGAAAAAAGTAAAATAAAACAACAACAAAAAAGTTTTGAGAAAAAAAGAGCAGAAATAAAATAATAGTAGGGAGGCTATATATACAGGGGGGTACCGGTGCAGAGTCAATGTGCGGGGGAACTGGCTAGATGAGGTAGTTCAAGTAATATGTACATGTGGGTAGAGTTAAAGTGACTATGCATAAATCATTAACAGAGTAGCAGCAGCGTAAAAAGATGAGGTGGGGGGGCAGTGCAAATAGTCCGGGTAGCCATGATTAGCTGTTCAGGAGTCTTATGGCTCGGGGGTAGAAGCTGTTGAGAAGTATTTTGGACCTGGACTTGGCACTCCGGTACCGCTTGCCGTGCGGTAGCAGAGAGAACAGTCTATGACTAGGGTGGCTGGAGTCTTTGACAATTTTGAGGGCCTTCCTCTGACACCGCCTTCTTATTGGTGTCCTTTAGTAGTGGTTTCATTGCAGCAATTCGACCATGAAGGCCTGATTCACACAGTCCCCTCTGAACAGTTGTTGATCTCTGTGAAGCATTTATTTGGGCTGCAATTTCTGAGGCTGGTAACTACTAATGAACTTATCCTCTGCAGCAGAGGTAACTCTGGGTCTTCCATTCCTGTGGCGGTCCTCGTGAGAGCCAGTTTCATCATAGCACTTGATGGTTTTTGCGACTGCACTTGAAGAAACTTTCAAAGTTCTTGACATTTTCCGTATTGACTGACCAAATAGGGCTGTCTTCTGTATACCCCCACATACCTTTTCACAACACAACTGATTGGCTCAAACACATTAAGACGGAAATAAATTCCACAAGTTAACTTTTAAGAAGGAACACCTGTTAATTGTAATGCATTCCAGGTGACTACCTCATGAAGCTGGTTGAGAGAATGCCAACAGTGTGCAAAGCTGTCAAGGCAAAGGGTGGCTATTTGAAGAATCTCAAATAAAATATATTTTGATTTGTTTAACACTTTTTTTGGTTACTACATGATTGCATATGTGTTATTTCATAGTGATGTCTTCACTATTATTATACAATGTAGAAAATAGTAAAAAATAAAGAGAAACCCTTGAATGAGTGGGTGTTAACTTTTGACTGGTAGTGTACATATAAATACATACAGTGGGGAGAACAAGTATTTGATACACTGCCGATTTTGCAGGTTGTCCTACTTACAAAGCATGTAGAGGTCTGTAATTTTTATCATAGGTACACTTCAACTGAGAGAGACGGAATCTAAAACAAAAATCCAGAAAATCACATTGTATGATTTTTTAAGTAATTAATTTGCATTTTATTGCATGACATAAGTATTTGATACATCAGAAAAGCAGAACTTAATATTTGGTACAGAAACCTTTGTTTGCAATTACAGAGATCATACGTTTCCTGTAGGTCTTGACCAGGTTTGCACACACTGCAGCAGGGATTTTGGCCCACTCCTCCATACAGACCATCTCCAGATCCTTCAGGTTTCGGGGCTGTCGCTGGGCAATAAGGACTTTCAGCTCCCTCCAAAGATTTTCTATTGGGTTCAGGTCTGGAGACTGGCTAGGCCACTCCAGGACCTTGAGATGCTTCTTACGGAGCCACTCCTTAGTTGCCCTGGCTGTGTGTTTCGGGTCGTTGTCATGCTGGAAGACCCAGCCACGACCCATCTTCAATGCTCTTACTGAGGGAAGGAGGTTGTTGGCCAAGATCTCGCGATACATGGCCCCATCCATCCTCCCCTCAATACGGTGCGGTCGTCCTATCCCCTTTGCAGAAAAGCATCCCCAAAGAATGATGTTTCCACCTCCATGCTTCACGGTTGGGATGGTGTTCTTGGTTGTACTCATCCTTCTTCTTCCTCCAAACACGGCGGGTGGAGTTTAGACCAAAAAGCTCTATTTTTGTCTCATCAGACCACATGACCTTCTCCCATTTCTCCTCTGGATCATCCTCTGGATCATCCAGATGGTCATTGGCAAACTTCAGACGGGCCTGTACATGCGCTGGCTTGAGCAGGGGGACCTTGCGTGCGCTGCAGGATTTTAATCCATGACGGCGTAGTGCAGGGTTCTTAAATTCCGGTCCTGGAGGGCCGAAACACTTCTGTTTTTTATTTCTACCTGGTAGTTAATTGCACTCACCTGGTGTCCTAGGTCTGAATTAGCCCCTGATTTAGAAGGAGAGGATGAAAAACAGAGGTGTTTCGGCCCTCCAGGACCGGAATTGAAGAACCCTGGCGTAGTGTGTTACTAATGGTTTTCTTTGAGACTGTGGTCCCAGCTCTCTTCAGGTCATTGACCAGGTCCTGCCGTGTAGTTCTGGGCTGATCCCTCACCTTCCTCATGATCATTGATGCCCCACGAGGTGAGATCTTGCATGGAGCCCCAGACCGAGGGTGATTGACCGTCATCTTGAACTTCTTCCATTTTCTAATAATTGCGCCAACAGTTGTTGCCTTCTCACCAAGTTGCTTGCCTATTGTCCTGTAGCCCATCCCAGCCTTGTGCAGGTCTACAATTTTATCCCTGATGTCCTTACACAGCTCTCTGGTCTTGACCATTGTGGAGAGGTTGGAGTCTGTTTGATTGAGTGTGTGGACAGGTGTCTTTTTTATACAGGTAATGAGTTCAAACAGGTGCAGTTAATACAGGTAATGAGTGGAGAACAGGGGGGCTTCTTAAAGAAAAACTAACAGGTCTATGAGAGCCGGAATTCTTACCGGTTGGTAGGTGATCAAATACTTATGTCATGCAATAAAATGCAAATTAATTACTTAAAAATCATACAATGTGATTTTCTGGATTTTTGTTTTAGATTCAGTCTCTCACAGTTGAAGTGTACCTATGATAAAAATTACAGACCTCTACATGCTTTGTAAGTAGGAAAACCTGCAAAATCGGCAGTGTATCAAATACTTGTTCTCCCCACTGTACATGCATACATACACACGTGTGTATGTATATATGTATATTTCTTTTAATTTATTTTCCACTAACCCTACCACTCCTCCCCTAATTGGAGTAAACTAATGAACAACAACACTTAGGCTTCCACATCAGCTTATACATACCATATACATTTTACGGACACAATCTATTTTTACAATAGTTATTTTGTTTTTAGTCCTACCCTCAACCTCTCATCTATTTCTGATGTCTATCCAGTTTGATTTCTGTTTGCCGTATTTTTTTTGCTGTGCTGTTTTACAAAAGTTCTGAGCCTATATACATTTTACGGACACAGTATATTTTACATGAGTTATCTTGTGCCAAAGGCACAATCCTAGGCATATTAGCAACCTATGGTAGTTGTTGCATATTCGATCTTCCCTCCTTTCCAAATTTCTAATGGATATATTAATCTGTCACATGAAACCACTCGCATGTTCGGTGCCCTTTTGACAACGTTGTTTTCCCGCTAATTGTATTATGGAACAGACATTCACACATAGTCTACTGCCTTGTGCACATTGCTGCCCTTATAATGTGAAGAAATAATAGTTTATCAACATTTTAAGCTAAATGTTCAGATCTGTTCCATCAGGCTCATTGCTTTTTAACGTTTGTTTTATGTAGCCTAGGCCTACTGGTTGTATGAATTTGGGATCTATCGTCTGTTTGGAATAGGCTTTTTCTTTCTCGACAAGCTGACCAATAGAATAGGTAAACTTTTCTAGTATGGGGGATAGTAGATTTACATAGGCTAGTGATCTTTCTGTCTGTTCCTTGTCTTGTTGGCTGAGGAAAAGTAAATGTGGACAGTTATTCTAACGTCTTCAAAGTGGACATCAGAATTTGGTATGAAGCACATCGTTGCATCCTCGACTTGCGTGTTCTGTTAATAAGGATTATCATAATCCAGCGTTTCCCAAACTCAGCCCTCGGGACCCCAAGGGGTGCACGTTTTGGTTTTTGCCCTTACACTACACAGCTGATTCAAATGATCAAAGCTTGATGATTAGTTGATTATTTGAATCGGCTGTGTAGTGCTAGGGCAAAAACCATAACGTGCACCCCTTGGGGTCCTGAGGACAAAGTTTGGAAAATCCTGCCATAATCTAAATGTGATTTCTGTCATTCTGAGCACCGTGGGTGGACGCCCTATTCAGGTTACGCACCCAATACATATGGGTCTGGTAAATTTCTCAAATGTCCAGTAAATTTAAAATGCTGCCGGTCAAATATCCAGCGCCACATTTTCCTAACGGAAACTCTGAGCCACTCGTAGTGGGCAATTGACAGGCGCTACTATGGCGCCCTTCATCTTTCCCACCAGTCTACAACCAGTCAGTCTTCAGTCATAATTTCTCACTGAAATGATATTCTGGGTGTCATCAAATGTTTTCCATGTAATTAGACTACCTTCTAATGAGCCGTTTGGGGCTTTGCAGATCCTGGAATGGCCGTTACCTGTGAGGAAAGGACAGGGCCCAGTGGAAGGTCCCGCTATCAACAGTGTGGTCATGGACCCCGAGCTCAGATACCTGGTGGCCCTCAGCGACAAGAACATGGCAGTGGTGTGGAGAAGAACGGAGTCTTCCTGAGGACCAAACACAACTTCTCCTGGGTTAATTTTTCTCATGTTCACTGATGGGTGTAAATACGGGTAGGTTTTGCTAGTATCACTTTAACCTATCAAGACTGGCCTTTCAGGGCAGTGATGATCAGTAAGGAAAGGAAGCTTATTCAATGCCATGGGAATTGGCTTGGACTTGCCCCTTTCTGGTTTTTGGTTGACCTCGCTCTCTACTGTTGACTTCTCACCTTACCACTTGGCTGAAACGTACCAGCCCTAATTTCAACTCCCCTCCTCGCCAGCATCTATTAGATCTAGTCTATTTTGATGCAGAGATGAGAATGAGATATTAATTGTACTGAAGATTAATAAGAATATACATATACTGAAAGGCATGTGTGATGGCTGTACAGATTGTGGATGTATTTGCATTTTGTACGTTTTAAAAAATATATATAATTGTACTATTCATTTAGATTAAACATCTAATGTGAATTTTATAGTTTTCATATTTTTTTTAAAACAAATTATACATATCAGTTTATCCACTGACATGGAAACGTATGATCAAAATGAAAACCTAATGTGTGTTTGACCTGTTTCAACCACAATGCATGATTGTACATGCAGATTTTAATGGCCTTTTTGAGGGTTGATGGATATGAGTTACATTAAGAACATCTGCCACATTAAATGTGATTGTTGTCCTAAATTTCAATTGTGTAGTGTGTTTTTGTATACGGCTGCGGCTATACAGGTAGCCCAATTCTGATATTTTGCCACTAATTGGACTTTTGACCAATATGATCAGATCTTTTGCTAATAATTTGGCACAAGATCAGAATTGAGCTGCCTGTGAAGACCAGCCTAATGCTGCGTTCATAACCAAGTGGAAAGGTGGTAATTGCCAGTTGTGAAATTGGATGCATTCGCATGCATGGAACTCCTTGATAAATGCTGTTTGGTTAAATAACAAACAAGCTGAGGCAACCATAAACTAAAAGTACAGCTATCGTGCTCGCAAAGAAATTATAGTTTTCAAAAAACATTAGATTGCTTTTGATAAATGTTTTGTTGCATTTAACTGCCGGAAATGCTATTATGTAGGGCGTTTCCTTAATATGTGATGTCAGAGTTCAGCATGTGGGAGAAGTCGGAGCTCAGGGATGATAGCCGTTCAACTGGATTTTTCCCAGTCTTATGTGGTACATACCACCTTCCCACTTGTAACTCCATTCTTGGAATACATTCTCCATTCTTGGTATATGTATATAGGCCAACACTTTTGTAATTTCAGTGTATCTATTCTAGGGGGAAACCTAAACCCGTTGACTGGTGCATGAGCAATTTCTTAAAGCACATATCCCCTTGTGGCGAAATGTGTCAAACTATTGGGATGGGACTATAAAAATAAACCTCATTCAATTTACACTGCTCAAAAAAATAAAAGGGAACAATAAAATAACACATCCTAGATCTGAATGAATGAAATATACTTATTAAATACTTTTTTCTTTACATAGTTGAATGTGCTGACAACAAAATCACACAAAAATTATCCATGGAAATCAAATTTGTCAACCATGGAGGTCTGGATTTGGAGTCGCCCTCAAAATTAAAGTGGAAAACCACACTACAGGCTGATCCAACTTTGATGTATTTTCCTTAAAACAAGTCAAAATTAGGCTCAGTAGTGTGTGTGGCCTCCACGTGTCTATATGACATCCCTACAATGCCTGGGCATGCTCCTGATGAGGTGGCGGATGGTCTCCTGAGGGATCTCCTCCCAGACCTGGACTAAAGCATCCGCCAACTCCTGGACAGTCTGTGGTGCAATGTGGCGTTGGTGGATGGAGCGAGACATGATGTCCCAGATGTGCTCAATTGGATTCAGGTCTGTGGAACGGGCGGGCCAGTCCATAGCATCAATGCCTTCCTCTTGCAGGAACTGCTGACACACTCCAGCCACATGAGGTCTAGCATTGACTTGCATTAGGAGGAACCCAGGGCCAACCGCACCAGCATATGGTCTCACAAGGGGTCTGAGGATCTCATTTTGGTACCTAATGGCAGTCAGGCTACCTCTGGCGAGCACATGGAGGGCTGTGCAGCCCCCCAAAGAAATGCCACCCCACACCATGACTGACCCACCGCCAAACCGGTCATGCTGGAGGATGTTGCAGGCAGCAGAACGTTCTCCACGGCGTCTCCAGACTGTCACGTCTGTCACATGTGCTCAGTGTGAACCTGCTTTCATCTGTGAAGAGCACAGGGCGCCAGTGGCGAATTTGCCAATCTTGGTGTTCTCTGGCAAATGCCAAACGTCCTGCACGGTGTTGGGCTGTAAGCACAACCCCCACCTGTGGACGTCGGGCCCTCATACCACCCTCATGGAGTCTGTTTCTGACCGTTTGAGCAGATACATGCACATTTGTGGCCTGCTGGAGGTCATTTAGCAGGGCTCTGGCAGTGCTCCTCCTTGCACAAAGGCGGAGGTAGCAGTCCTGCTGCTGGGTTGTTGCCCTCCTATGGCCTCCTCCATGTCTCCTGATGTACTGGCCTGTCTCCTGGTAGCGCCTCCATGCTCTGGACACTACGCTGACAGACACAGCAAACCTTCTTGCCACAGCTCGCATTGATGTGCAATCCTGGATGAGCTGCACTACCTGGGCCACTTGTGTGGGTTGTAGACTCCGTCTCATGCTACCACTAGAGTGAAAGCACCGCCAGCATTCAAAAGTGTCCAAAACATCAGCCAGGAAGCATAGGAACTGAGAAGTGGTCTGTGGTCACCACCTGCAGAACCATTCCTTTATTGGGGGTGTCTTGCTAATTGCCTATAATTTCCACCTGTTGTCTATTCCTTTTGCACAACAGCATGTGAAATTTATTGTCAATCAGTGTTGCTTCCTAAGTGGACAGTTTGATTTCACAGAAGTGTGATTGACTTGGAGTTACATTGTGTTGTTTAAGTGTTCCCTTTATTTTTTTGAGCAGTGTATATCCTCATGATACACTAATTACATGGAGAGAAACAGAAAGTAGAGGCTCTGCTATTTTCTTTTTTCTCTTTATTTTGCTCAACTGGGGACTTGTGGACTATGCGAAATTAATTATGTATAAACAAGTATGCATTTGATACCTATTTATATATATATATATAAATGTTATAAACCTATTTAATAAACATCCTTTGACATGGAAAAGAACATTGTGTACTCTTCTTGCTCCGTCAGTACCAGTAGGTTGTGGGAGTGGAAATACGCTATTCCCGCCTCTCGTCTCTGGGATTGGTTAAACCAGCACGTCTTCTGACAAACACTGTTGCAGACTGGTCAATCTCTTCGTAAAAAAGACCATTCTGTACTCTTCATGAGACTATAAACGTGCCTTTGTGCACGATAGCTAGGGTAACCTAATATAATGGCCTGTTGAGACAGCAATAATTTTAACAATCTCAGAACAGGACTCTGTTCTTGTAAATTGATTTTCAAAATGCGTCGCAGAGTGACAGGTACAGTGTTGGAGATGCTGGGCTGTGGTGGTGGTGGTAGTGGTACTATCACGAGCCCGAGGGTGAGCAGGCTTTTGCTTGCCCCCATCACGAAAACAATCACCCCCACCTCGACAGACAGCGAAAGATTTCGTTCTACATCTTCAATACAGGGATATACAGAACTGGCACGAGAGAGGTCCAAAACCGTTACGTCGTTTTACAACCAGTCTGCAATCGATGTCTCCGCAGAAAAGGTAAGGAAATTGTGTAAACCAAACTATGCCATTCTTGCCCAGGCAGTACTAAGCCGCAGCACTGCATGGCCTTAACAGCTAGCTAACTATTTGTAGCTAACGTTAGCTAGCTCAGCTAACCAGCGTAACTGGAACCTCTGTGTGTTTAGTGCTGTAACTAGCTTGCTACGGTAGCTGGTGAGAACACAGATGGTTAGCTAGAATCGTTGGTAAGAATGTTTGTAACGTATGTACACACTCGTGTATTCCTTTGGGGTAGATATTCTGCTAGCTACAGTAGCAAGCAACTGTAACTACCACCATGTGAAATTATGACAGCAAAAGTTCCAGGTTTGCTTGCTTGTTAGCCTAATGAAGTATTATTAAAATATTGATTTGTTAATTTAACTACCTAGCTAGTAACGTTTGTGTTTAGTAGGAGTGAACAACACGGGTATTTGGACACACAAGGGTCAGTCCAAGGTCAGTAAATTGACCTAGACAGAAATTAGTCAGGGATGCAGACAGTAAATTATATGAGAGGGGAACTAGGCAGTACCCTACTTTTTCAAGTGCTTACCAGAGAAACTGAAATATTAAATATTTATAATTCACCAGATCATAAAACGACTGAGAAAATCCATAACAAGGTCATGTGGCTGCTGTATTAGTGTGTGACTGCAGCTAGCTACCTACATAGTTTTTTATTCCTATTTGACTAGGTAGTGGGAAATCTGCAGGGCATTCATTCACGCAAATAGTGCCACCATTGTGCTGACAATTACCAATCCTTATGTAACTCATGTCCCAGACATTATTTGGCACCAACTGCCCAGGGCCCACATTTTTTATGATGGTTACAAACTATTTTGGTAATTAGTTGAAGCTCATTATTAAACCAGTGACACTGCCTCCTCTCAAAGGATTCCCTTTGTCTTGCTGGACTATGGAACATTTCATAATAAAATAAAACCTAAAAGATGGATTAGAAGTAGCATAAGCCAACTTAATGCTACAGATCAAATCAAATCGGCACATTTCAGACATGGAATGCAAAAACAATGATAATAAAACCTGAAATATTTACTACACAACAAACATAAGATAAAGAAACAAAAGAAGGACACAAACTGAACGACTAAAAAGCACCCTAAGGAAAAGCAAAGCTAAAAATATTGTGTTTTAAGGTCTCTTTTAAATATGTCCAGTTTCGTCCCCCCTCAGGTTCTCCGGTAGGCTATTCCAGAAGCTGATAGTTAAAAGGCCAGAGGACCTGAGGGACCTACTGGGTACATCACTTAAAAGCATGTCTGATATGTATTGGGGTGCACAATTGTGGATTGATTTAAAAACCAATAGAAGAATCTTAAAATGTAATTCTAAAACTCACAGGCAGCAAGTGCAGAGACCTTAAAACCTGCGTAATGTGTGCTCTCCGTCTGGTCTTTGTCAGTACCCGTGCTACAGCATTCTGTATGTTTTGCAGTGGACCAATGGCTTTCTTGGGTATACCAGACAGGAAAGCTATTTTGGTCACATTCAACATTTTGTTAAGAATTTTTTAAATAACACCTAGATGTGATTACCATCATACTGAAGGTGACTTGGTAAGGGTTTCTCTCTCTCAGTAGCACACTGCAATCAGTCTCAGTTCCAGTTGAAGACTGGACATATTTTCTACTTTTGTCTGCTAAATGACTAAAATAAAAAAATGTGATTGCATGCCAAAAGTAGAAAATATGTTGTTGGGGAAACTCATTGTTTTTGGGTGATTGGGTTCTTGTGTCCGTAATCCTTATCTCATGAATTCACACTAAAGAGTTGTCTGCTTGTGTCCACTGTATCAAATATTGTAGGCCTGGTTAAGTGGATTTCCTCAACTGTTTTTCTCCTCTCTCCGCAGGCCTCAGTCCGACTGACACCAGCCACCTTGCTCTACGCTGGGAAGTCTCCGGATGGACACCACATCCTGGTAACTGACCACTCTGTCCAGTCATTGTAGCATATTTTATGGTTATTTCTCGTTATAATAGGCCTTATACATGCTTTGTCTTTGGGATTGATGACTGCTTTGAAGATTACTTGAAAAGTGATACATCTTGATACACACTCTTTTAAGTGGTCTATAGAGAACACAATTTGTCCGATATCAGTCTTTTTACTGTATGCTGCTTTAGGAATGTCATCTTGAGAGAAAAGGTTTACGTGTAGCACTTTATCACTGGAAATATCATTTGATAAGACTATACTACTCTAAATAACCTGGGTCATGTCTGATTTTTCTATGGTGTAAAACCGGTTTGACTGGTAGTGAAGTTCAAAATTCAAGGGGATTCCTTTATTAGCCTGGTCATTGAGATCACTTTGCCTTGCACTGTGTTGTCCACGTTGTGTATACGTCTCACCCTTCCACCCTGTGTCTGTAGAGCAGTGCCAAGTACCTGCACAAGGAGTTGCCTGTGCGAATCGCCCACCGTATCAAGGGCTTCCGCAGCCTGCCCTTCATCATTGGCTGCAACCCCACCATCCTGCAAGTGGTGAGTTCCTTCTGTTTTGTATGTGGGTTTTTTTCTCTCCGTTTCTCCCTCTTGATGTTGAGGTCTCTCTGTGATGCTTCTCTCTTTGTCAACATGTCTGGTTTACCTTTCTGGTGCAGTAACACGCCTGTGCGATTTGCCCAACTTTCGGGACAATCCTCTCATTCCAATCATTGGGCATGTATGGGAGAGGAGGGCGCCAGAAACGGCATTGAGTCCGTGCCAATGTGCTCATCAAAATACACTGAGTATACAAAACATTAAGAACACCTGCTCTTTCCATGACAGACTGACCAGGTGAATCCAGGTGAAAGCTATGATCCCTCATTGATGTCACTTGTTAAATCCACTTCAATCAGTGTAGATGAAGGGGAGGAGACAGGTTAAAGAAGGATTTTTAAGCCTTGAGACATGGATTGTGTTTGTGTGCCATTCAGAGGGTGATTGGGCAAGACAAAGTAGGGTGTTAGGTGTCTGGCGCACCGGTTTGTCAAGAACTGCAATGCTGCTGGGTTCTTTCAGGCTCAACAGTTTCCCGTGTGTATCAAGAATGGTCCACCACCCAAAGGACATCCAGCCAACTTGACAACTGTGAGAATCATTGGCGTCAACATGGGCCAGCATTCCTGTGGAACACTTTCGACACCTTGTAGAGTCCATGCCCCGACACATTGAGGCTGTTCTAAGGGTAAGGGGGGGTGAAACTCAATATTAGGAAGGTGTTCCTAATGTTTGGTATACTCAGTGTAGACTGAACCTTTGGTAGGTTCTGACAAATACCCAGTAAAAATGCACAGACTACTACGGAAAGCTCCAACCAAGTTTATTCACCCAGAGGGTCAAACAGCTAAAAAGACAAAAACATATTTACACAAGCACACACATTTATGGCTTCCTCCTATGCTGTGTCTCCTCCTTACACCTCTGGACAGCCAATACTTCTCTGTTGCTAGACAGGACTTTAGTGATGCCTGTTCTTTCTCACTTCATCTGACCTGACCTCAGCCCAAATTCCTCAGTCCTCCCCAACTCAAGGCTGTCCTGTTGACTTGTACCAGACTGTGGCCCTCCTCCTTTCCCTAGGATACCTGATGTCTAACCATAACATGTTCTGACACAATGTAAATCTCCTGCATTCCCCTCTCTCCCTTATTGACATGATTTAAAGATCTTTCAAGCTTATAAATCCGAACGCATCACCTTGAACAGTCATTCATTGAGAATGCACTTGTTACAAAACAGTAGAGCAGGGCAATATGGACAACAATCCATATCTCAATAAATTGCTTGAATTGATGCGATAACTATAAATAGACCGTTAAGTTTATAACATTAATGTGCACCACAGTTTTTTTGTATTATTATCATTTAAACTACTACTACTTGTTTGATGGTTGTAGCCATCAATTGTCCCATTAACAATCACCCATATTGGCAAAATATTTTCTAGTATAGGCTACTTATCGTAATGAACGATATCAGCAAAATGCCTGCAATGTATGGTCGGTGTCGATCATTTCCGGTTTATTTTCCCAGCTCTACACAACACCCTGCTAGCATTTATTAGCTCAGCTGCATCTCTTAGCTTCCTACATTTGTGAGATGGGCTTCTTTATTATGTAACAAACGAAGCCCCCTCACTCTATGCCTATGGAACTGTAATCAATTCGATTAAGTCATTAGTCTATCAGCATACAACATTTCGGCCTGAGAACTAAGAGTTATCCTATAGAGCTAGAGTTGATAGGCCATCTGTGACATTGGAGGTTTTCCTTTGTTCTTTAGCTGCCATGTGCAGTGTTAAGCTTTTTCTACTCCTCCCTCTGTCCTCTTCTCTCTTCCCATGGCCTATTTACCTCATGTAAGCGTCTTTAAACTGGATGAACTTTTACCTAGATTTTTCTCCCACATCACAAGGTGCTCTTTTGTGCTAATGAAATGGTACCTGGAATGATCAGCCGTACAGAAGCATGTATTTTCTCAGAATATTCTCCTTCCAACTAATAAATAAGAATTGCAAACAAGTGTGTGGGGAATTTCATATTAGTAGTTGTTAGATTGTACTTATTTTTTTTTTTAGATGTGGTAATATTATCCATTCACTTGAACATCTATTCAGAATTTAAGCAGTTGTGCATTTGATACATATTGGAAGACTAGGCTATAATCCTCTTAAGAAACATCCTCTGTTCTTGGACTACAGGCCAGGACACATGTACACCCATGGGATGTGTTGGGGCCCACTTATGGGAGGAGGGGTTCCTCCTCTTACCTAACCGAGTGCTCAGAGGGAATTCTAACCAATACCCCTTGTCTATTTCCCTCTCCTGCAGCATGAGCTCTACATTCGAGCCTACCACGTGTTGAGCGACTTCCCAGCAGTGAGTAGTCACAAACAGCCACACTGAGAGAGGGGTTGGGTTGGCCAAGTTCAAATGCTTGACCCCCAGGGCTTCCATATTTATCTCTGTCCCAGTCTCTGTGGAACTGGAGAGGCTGTCAGACTGGCCTGCACACAACTCCTCCAGGCTGACTAATGTATTTGTTTGTCTGAAAGTGTCGTTGCTTGGATGAAAAGTATAGTATTTTGAATGGATATTTTGATTCTATAAGAGTTATTTTTACAAGAATTGCAACAAATACAGCTGAGATAAAAATGACAACACCTTAGGGTGAACAAAACATAGGTCACTGTCATTTCCAAGAATTTCCCCTTTCCAAGAAAAGTAATAAATGGTATACGGAGGATCACTACTTCTAGACTACATTGCCTTCGGAAATATTCAGACCACTTCCCTTTTTCCACATTCTGTTACGTTACAGCCTTAATCTAAAATGGATTTTATTTTTTTATTTTATTTATCCTCAGCAATCTACACACAATACCCCATAATGACAAAGCAAAAACAGGTTTTAGAAATGTTTGTATTCAGACCCTTTGCTATGAGACTTGAAATTGAGCTCAGGTGCATCCTGTTTCCATTGATTATCCTTGAGATGTTTCTACAACTTGATTGGAGTCCATCTGTGGTAAATTCAATTGATTGGACATGATTTGGAAAGGCACACACCTGTCTATATAAGGTCCCACAGTTGACAGTGCATGTCAGAGCAAAAACCAAGCCATGAGGTCGAAGGAATTGTCCGTAGAGCTCCGAGACAGGATTGTGTCGAGGCACAGATATGGGGAAGGGTACCAAAAAATATCTGCAGGATTGAAGATCCCTAAGAACACAGTGGCCTCCATCATTCTTAAATGGAAGAAGTTTGGAACCACCAAGACTCTTCCTAGAGCTGGCCGCCCGGCCAAACTGAGCAATTGGGGGGGGGAGGGGGCCGATGGTCACTCTGACAGAGCTCCAGAGTTCCTCTGTGGAGATGGGAGACCCTTCCAGAAGGACAGCCATCTCTGCAGCACTCTACAATCAGGTCTTTATGGTAGAGTGGCCAGATAGAAGCCACTCCTGAGTAAAAGGCACATAACAGCCTGCTTGGAGTTTGCCAAAAAGCACCTAAAGACTCCCAGACCATGAGAAACAAGATTCTCTGGTCTGATGAAACCAAGATTGAACTCTTTGTCCTGAATGCCAAGCGTCACGTCTGGAGGAAACCTGTCACCATCCCTACGGTGAAGCATGGTGGTGGCAGCATCATGCTGTGGGGATGTTTTTCAGACTAGTCAGGATCGAGGCAAAGATGTACGGAGCAATGTACATAGAAATCCTTGATGAAAACCTGCTCCAGAGTGCTCAGGTTTACCTTCCAACAGGACAACGACCCTAAGCACACAGCCAAGAAAACGCAGGAGTAGCTTCGGGACAAGTCTCTGAATGTCCTTGAGTGGCCCAGCAAGAGCCCGGACTTGAACCCGATCGTACATCTCTGGAGAGACCTGAAAACAGCTGTGCAGCAACGCTCCCCAGCCAACCTGACAGAGCTTGGAAAAAGTGAAGGGGTCTGAATACTTTCCGATGCACTGTATATTTAGTTATATCTTTTTAATGGTTGTATGGGTGTGTATGTATATAAACAGTTGATTCCAGTCAGTTCTGTAAGTGAATTTTACTCTAGTGTCCAATTCATCTGATAGGAATGGAATTCATCCCAACTCTGATTTTGATAATGGTCAGATTCGATCTGATTTCACTCTGCATCGTCTGTTTGTCAGATCAAGGACCAGGAGATGGAGGCTCGCTACAGTAAGCTGGTGCAGCAGCTCCTGGACGACCACAAGGACGTAGTCACTCTGCTGGCCGAAGGCTTCAGGGAGTGTCGGAGGCACATTCAGGTAATGGCCATATGCACATATAACGTCAACAGATTCAACTCATTGACTTTCCCACATGAACTGCTGTTTTATCATCTTGCTGCTGGAATGGATCTTGATGTTGCAGATGTTACAAGTTGGTTGTTGGAACTATGTGTTTTGTAATGTGACCGTAGGATTTAAAGAATGGTGTATTCCTTGCCTTAAGAGTGTTGTTTGTATTTATGTTTCAGGATGAGACCCTGGTCCGTAACTTCCTGGACACCACCCTCACCTCCCGCCTGGGGATCCGGATGTTGGCCACACACCATCTTGCCCTGCATGAAGAAAACGTATGTCACTCATCCACCTTCTAGTCATTAATTGCTAACAGACTAAAAACTGTTATTACTGAGAAAAGGAACATGATATTATTACATTTTTGTTATAGGGCAGTATTATAATTTGAAGAGGCAAAGCATACTCAGAACTTGTTTATTTTCATACTATAAACAGGTGCCCACCAGTACATGAACCCAACGTTTCGGCCTGGAGCCATTGACAAGGGCGTGCTTGCAAAAATCCAACCTGTCTGCCACCCATACTTTTAGTTTGGATTATAAGTATAGTTTCCTGGGTTCTCTCCAAATATCCATACACACACACTCTAGCATACAGCAACATGTGAACACTCTAGACCCCCAGTGCATTGACATGCAGTGTAACTCCTGATTCCAGATCTTGCACCACTCATGCGAGCTAAAATAAAAACTAAACGCATGAACTGGACAAAGCCATTATTATCAGTGCAGCCTGCTGGCCCCATGACTTTTACTAGAGCCCAGTTTGTATCCTTATTTTAACCACTGATGTGCTGTATGTAGCCCATGCTGCCAAATAACTGGGTTGTCTCTGGCAGCAATAGGCTCCAGTGACGTAAGTGGCTGGTGTGAGTGCCCCAGTGGGCCTCAGAATATTTCCATATGACCCAGTTATAGGGTCTATATATAACATGGTGGTGGTCAGGATGATGAAGCATGTTTGACAGGTCTGGAGACTCCCTGACTCAGGGTAGCAGTGTGTTAGTTAGCCGCCTAATACCTGATACCCCTGCCAAGATTGATGGTTTTGTTACCCAACAACACTTAGGCCTAAATCACTCACGCTATTTGTTGTAATCAACTCCTTTCACGGCTCAGACTTTGATTCTTTCTGGAACATCGGTCAAATGACTGGCTACTAGTTTGTGAGATTACTCGTCCTATTGTGCTAATACATTCTGACTATAGGACTACATTGCACTTTGACCCGAAATTTGGCAAACCATCCTCTGTTTAGCATGTCAGCAATAAAGCTTGTGCATCTCCTCTTATATACCTTTCATCTTTCTTTGCAGCCTGATTTTGTGGGCATCATCTGCAGGCGACTTTCCCCCAAAAAGATAATTGAGAAATGGGTTGATTTTGCAAGGTGAGTGGTGTGTTACGTTACGTTATTATATTGTTGGTTTAGAATAATCTCCCACTACTTCTGGATTAGAATATAGGTCACTCTTCTACACTTAATAAAAATATAAACGCAACATGTAAAGTGTTGGTCCCATGTTTCATGAGCTGAAATAAAGGATCCCAGAAATTTTCCATACGCACAAAAAGCGTATTTCTCTCAAATTATGTGCACAAATTTGTTTACATCCCTGTTAGTGAGCATTTCTCCTTTGCCAAGATAATCCATCCACCTGACAGGTGTGGTATATCAAGAAGCTGATTAAACAGCAAGATCATTACACATGTCCACCTTGTGCTGGGGACAATAAAAGGCCACTCTAAAATGTGCAGTTTTGTCACACAACACAATGCCACAGATGTCTCAAGTTTTAAGCCACCTCCAACGTCGCTTTAGAGAGTTTGGCAGAACAGCCAACCAGCCTCACAACCGCAAACCATATGTATGGTGTCGTGTGGACGAGTGGTTTGTTGATGTCAACATTGTGAACAGAGTGCCCCATGGTGGGGTTATGGTATGGGCAGGCATAAGCTACGGACAACGAACACGATTGCGTTTTATTGATGGCAATTTGAATGCATAAAAATACTGTGACAAGATCCTGAGGCCCATTGTGAGGCCCATTCTTTAATTTTAATTTTTTATTTTAAGGTACGTGAGGGGAAAAAAGTATTTGAACCCCTGCTGATTTTGTACGTTTGCCCACTGACAAAGAAATGATCAGTCTATAATTTTAATGGTAGGTTTATTTGAACAGTGAGAGACAGAATAACAACAAAAATAATCCAGAAAAACGTGTGTCAAAAATGTTATAAATGGATTTGCATTTTAATGAGGGAAATAAGTATTTGACCCCTCTGCAAAACATGACTTAGTACTTGGTGGCAAAACCCTTGGTTTGCAATCACAGAGGTCAGATGTTTCTTGTAGTTGGCCACCAGGTTTGCACACATCTCAGGAGGGATTTTGTCCCACTCCTCTTTGCAAATCTTCTCCAAGTCATTAAGGTTTCGTGCCTGACGTTTGGCAACTCGAACCTTCAGCTCCCTCCACAGATTTTCTATGGGATTAAGGTCTGGAGACTGGCTAGGCCACTCCAGGACTTTAATGTGCTTCTTCTTGAGCCACTCCTTTGTTGCCTTGGCCGTGTGTTTTGGGTCATTGTCATGCTGGAATACCCATCCACGACCCATTTTCAATGCCCTGGCTGAGGGAAGGAGGTTCTCACTCAAGATTTGACGGTACATGGCCCTGTCCATTGTCCCTTTTGATGCGGTGAATTTGTCCTGTCCCCTTAGCAGAAAAACACCCCCAAACATAATGTTTCCACCTCGATGTTTGACAGTGGGGATGGTGTTCTTGGGGTCATAGGCAGCATTCCTCCTCCTCCAAACACAGTGAGTTGAGTTGATGGCAAAGAGCTCGATTTTGGTCTCATCTGACCACAACACTTTCACCCAGTTCTCATCTGAATCATTCAGATGTTCATTGGGCAAACTTCAGACGGGCCTGTATATGTGCTTTCTTGAGCAGGGGGACCTTGCGGGCGCTGCGGGATTTCAGTCCTTCACGGCGTAGTATGTTACCAATTGTTTTATTGGTGACTATGGTCCCAGCTGCCTTGAGATCATTGACAAGATCCTCCCGTGTAGTTCTGGGCTGATTCCTCACCGTTCTCATGATCATTGCAACTCCACGAGGTGAGATCTTGCATGGAGCCCCAGGCTGAGGGAGATTTACAGTTATTTTGTGTTTCTTCCATTTGCGAATAATCGCACCAACTGTTGTCACCTTCTCACCAAGCTGCTTGGCAATGGTCTTGTAGCCCATTCCAGCCTTGTGTAGGTCTACAATCTTGTCCCTGACATCCTTGGAGAGCTCTTTGGTCTTGGCCATGGTGGAGAGTTTGGAATCTGATTGATTGATTGCTTCTGTGGACAGGTGTCTTTTATACAGGTAACAAGCTGATATTAGGAGCACTCCTTTTTAAGAGTGTGCTCCTAATCTCAGCTCGTTACCTGTATAAAAGACACCTGGGAGCCAGAAAGCTTTCTGATTGAGAGGGGGGTCAAATACTTATTTCTCTCATTAAAATGCAAATCAATTTATAACATTCTTGACATGTGTTTTTCTGGATTTTGTTGTTGTTATTCTGTCTCTCACTGTTCAAATAAACCTACCATTAAAATTATAGACTGATCATGTCTTTGTCAGTGGGCAAATGTACAAAATTAGCAGGGGATCAAATACTTTTTTCCCTCACTGTATCTGTGACCAACAGATGCATACAGTGCCTTGCAAAAGTATTCATCCCCCTTGGCGTTTTTCCTATTTTGTAGCATTAGAACCTGTAATTTAAATGGATTTTTATTTGGATTTCATGTAATGGACATACACAAAATAGTCCAAATTGGTGAAGTAAAAAAAAAAAAAAACTTGTTTCCAAAAATTCTATAAAATAAATAACGGAAAAAGTGGTGCGTGCATATTTATTCACCCCCTTTGCTACGAAGCCCCTAAATATGATCTGGTACAACCAATTACCTTCAGAAGTCACATGATTACTTAAATCTTTTTACATTTTTAGTCATTTAGCAGACGTTCTTATCCAGAGCGACTTACAGGAGCAATTAGGATTAAGTGCATTGCTCAAGGGCACATCGACAGATTTTTCACCTAGTCGGCTCGGGAATTAGAACCAGCGACCTTTCGGTTACTGGCACAACGCTCTTAACCACTAAGCTACCTGCCGCCCACATGTGTGCAATCTAAGTGTCACATGATCTCAGTATATCTACACATGTTCTGAAAGGCCCCAGAGTATGCAACACCACTAAGCAAGGGGCACCACCAAGCAAGCGGCACCATGAAGACCAAGGAGCTCTCCAAACAGGTCAGGGACAAAGTTGTGGAGAAGTACAGATCAGGGTTGGGTTATAAAAAAATATACAAAACTTTGAACATCCCACGGAGCACCATTTAAATCCATTATTAAAAAATGGAAAGAATATGGCACCACAACAAACCTGCCAAGAGAGGGCCGCCCACCAAAACTCACGGACCAGGCAAGGAGGGCGTTAATCAGCTTCATTAAATAGTACCCGCAAAACACCAGTCTCAACGTCAACAGTGAAGAGGCGACTCCGGGATGCAGATCTTCTAGGCAGAATTGCAAAGAAAAAGCCATATCACAGACTGCCCATCTTAATTTTTTCTTTTTATTGGCCAGTCTGAGATATGGCTTTTTCTTTGCAAATCCTGCCTAGAAGGTCAGCATCCCGTAGTCGCCTCTTCACTGTTGACGTTGAGACTGGTGTTTTGCGGGTACTATTTAATGAAGCTGCCAGTTGAGGACTTGTGAGGCGCCTTTTCCTCAAACTAGACACTCTAATGTATTTGTCCTCTTGCTCAGTTGTGCACCGGGGCCTCCCACTCCTCTTTCTATTCTGGTTAGAGACAGTTTGCACTGTTCTGTGAAGGGAGTAGTACACAGTGTTGTACGAGATCTTCCGTTTCTTGGCAATATCTCGCATGGAATAGCCTTCATTTCTCAGAACAAGAATAGACTGATGAGTTTCAGAAGAAAGTTCTTTGTTTCTGGCCATTTTGATCCTGTAATCGAACCCACAATTCCTGATGCTCCAGATACTCAATTATTCTCAAGAAGGCCAGTTTTATTGCTTCTTTAATCAGCACAACAGTTTTCAGCTGTGCTAACATAATTGCAAAAGGGTTTTCTAGTGATCAATTAGCCTTTTTAAAATGATAAACTTGGATTAGCAAACACAACGTGCCATTGGACACAGGACTGATGGTTGCTGATAATGGTCCTCTGAACGCCTATGTAGATATTCCATTAAAAATCAGCCGTTTCCAGCTACAATAGCCATTTACAACATTAACAATGTCTACACTGTATTTCTGATTAATTTGATGTTATTTTAATGGACAAAAAATTTGCTTTTCTTTCGAAAACAAGGAATTTTCTAAACTTTTGAACGGTAGTGTATATGGGCTTTTGTTCCACCTTATCTGTTAGCAATTGCATCAAAAGCAGATTTTGATTACATTTGAGTAGGAGACTCAAAGGGTGTTAAGTTGCTGAAATGTATGGACTTCTAACAAACATCCCAATGCCTACAATTTATTTAGCATTTTAATTCCACTTGAGAGTTTTTGCAAACATAAACAACTGGAGAAGGGGCAAGGACAAAACCAAAACAAGAGATGGGATAGGCAGCCCAGCAGACAATCTAGCTACCCCTCTAGACAAATTGATTTGCACTGGAATTATTTTGGGGGGAAAAAACCCACACCATTTACAGTACCCTGAGATGTCAATGCCGGCATCATAAAAAGTATATATTGCCTTAAGAAAGACATGGTAGCAGTTCTATTGACAATATAAAGGTTGTCATAAAACATCATAGTAAGGTGCAGAGCGTTCGATTTGCCTGCTGGGGTGGCAGGGAGACCCCAGCTCTGCTAAAACCATTGACAACTGCATGCTGTTTTCAAGGGATTGCCAAATAAATGTAAAAGAATGTTGGTTGTAGTATGAGCACCTCTTGAAGAGCATATCAGAACTTCCGATTATTCCTTGCAAAACATTTGTGCAAATGTAAGTTCTGTCATAGTTATTTCTCTCGATTCTAAGATGTTGGGGGGGTTATAAGCTGACATAAATAAGATGGTCATACCATGGATCATTTAGCTATTTGATTTAGAATTTTAGGTCCACTTTAGATAGATATATAAAAAACATAATGTATACCAATTTTTATATATTTATATATAGTACCAGTCAAAAGTTTGGACACACCTACTCATTCAAGGGTTTTTCTTTATTTTTACTATTTTCTACATTGTAGAATAATAGTGAAGACATCAAAACTATGGAATAATGTAGTAACCAAAAAGGTGTTAAACAAATCAAAATATATTTGAGAACCTTCAAATAGCCACCCTTGTGCCTTGACAGCTTTGCACACTCTTGGCATTCTATCAACCAGCTTACCTGGAATGCTTTTCCAACAGTCTTGAAGGAGTTCCCACATATGCTGAGCTGCTTTTCCTTCACTCTGCGGTCCGACTCATCCCAAACCATCTCAATTGGGTTGAGGTCGGGTGATTGTGGATGCCAGGTCATCTGATGCAGCACTCAATCACTCTTGTTCTTGGTAAAATAGCCCTTACACAGCCTGGAGGTGTGTTGGGTCATTGTCCTGTTGAAAAACAAATGATAGTCCCACTAAGCCCAAACCAGATGGGATGGCGTATCGCTGCAGAATGCTGTATTAGCCATGCTGGTTTAATGTGCCTTTAATTTTAAATAAATCATAGACAGTGTCACCAGCAAAGCACCCCCACACCAGAACACCTCCTCCATGCTTTACGTTGGGAAATACACATGCGGAGATCATCCGTTCACCCACACCGCGTATCACAAAGCCACAGCGGTTGGAACCAAAAGTCTCCAATTTGGACTCTAGACCAAAGGCCACATTTCCACTGGTCTAATGTCCATTGCTTGTGTTTCTTGGCCCAGGCAAGTCTCTTCTTATTATTGGTGTCCTTTAGTAGTGGTTTCTTTGCAGCAATTAGACCATGAAGGCCTCACACAATCCCCTCTGAACAGTTGATGTTGAGATGTCTGTTACTTGAGCTCTGAAGCATTTATTTGGGCTGCATTTTCTGAGGCTGGTAACTAATGAACTTATCCTCTACAGCAGAGGTAACTCTGGGTCTTCCATTCCTGTGGCGGTCCTCATGAGAACCAGTTTCATCATAGCGCTTGATGGTTTTTGCGACTGCACTTGAAGAAACTTTCAAAGTTCTTTAATTTTCCGTATTGACTGACCATCATGTCTTAAAGTAATGATGGAATGTTGTTTCTCTTTGCTTATTTGAGCTGTTCTTGACATATGGACTTCGTCATTTACCAAATAGGGCTATCATCTGTATACCCCCCTTTTCTTTGGGTAGGCACAAAACTATCTCCATACTTCCATTACATTTTTTTGTACCATTTACCTTCAGACGAGTCCTGTGACATTTGTGGGGGTCGTAGAGCAAAATGTGAGAATCTCCCTTTTTCACAGTTTGTAGCCCAAACGGTTTGGACGCTACAAATAGAAGTACCGACTTCAGACGAGTCCCGTGGGGGTCGTAGAGCAAAACATAGGCCAAACCGTTTGGACGCTACAGCCGTTTTCGTGAGCAGACCGATTTTGGGGATGTCTCATGGTCTGACAAACACCGCTGTAGCTCAGCCACCTTCCACCGCAGATGTGGAAGGCCACCATAGGAGGATGCATTGGATTGAGACGCAGCCCATGCAAAAAAACATCTCTAGCTTAAACTGACGGATTTTGATGGATTTTTTTATTATGTTACTTATATTGACCGACCGGTGCGTCAATAGACTCTAGGAGGTTATACAGCAAGTAACTGCATGCTTTTTATGATCCGTAAACATTATGTAATTTCAGATGAGGGTAGCCTATCCATTCGGCATGTAGCTAGCTATGCAAACAACTTGTTTCATTTAGCTTGCTTCATCAGAAGACTTTTGAAAAGTGGTTGACATCTGCAAGTAGCCTATGTCTCTGAGTCTAAACTCATCCTGGTGAAGTTGTCTGTCTGATTAGGCCTACTGTCATTACTGCTATAGCTGACAAGCAACTCAAACAATTTAGAAAGAACTAGCTAGCTAGTTTATCCACTGAAAGTTAGATAACCTCGTCCACAGGCTATTGCGCACAGCACATCTAAGCCTCGTACATCAGTGATTCAAAGTTGGCCTTAGTGGGAGTGACCATAGAATTCTATGGGACTGACCTTACAGAGTAAAGTATTTGTTGTCATTTAATGTTAGCGAATCCCCCCCCCCCCCCCCATGACAACCCGGGGCACGCCCCACAGTTTGGGAACCACTGTGCTAATGTATGGGGTAGGGTTAGGTGGAAGGTGTTTTGGAAGGTAATTGGTTGGTAGATTAAACAGATTTAAGCCAATGCCAATGCGCCTGGAGTTTCTCCCAGTCTTTCTGTATTGGCTAACGAAGGCCAAGTTTGACACGTTGGTCCACCAGACTCTTCACGCAGTTAGGCGGAAGTGTCTGGGAACGAGATTAGCTGTTAGCTAGCCAAATTGACGTGATCTGTCAATGTCTGTATATAGGTGATTTTCAGAAGTAATCGTGATTAAACAGTCTTAAAATCAATTTTGAAAAGGGTATAATATTAGCTAGCTGAGGTATGTTGTTTGGGGAGGGAAAAAAAGTACATGACTTACCATAAGGTTTAGGTACTTTACAGAGTTTCAAGCTTGCAAACATTATTTCTAGCTGCGATACATGGGCAAATGTGTCCTTCTGCTGCTTGACAGGCAAAGCCCACAATGGATGGAAAATGTACCTAAACCACAGGTGCCTGTCAGGTATAGTACACTTTTTTAAATTCTTATTTTATATAACTAAAATATCCAATTAAATGGTGGCCAATATTGAGAGATGGAGATGTACTCCACCTGTGTTTTACGCTGTAATGCATTGGAGCAGGCTGCAGGCTTTCCACCCCCCCCCCCCCCAGCTGGGAATGGAATGTTTGAAATCGACTGAAATATGATATTGATAACGGCCTATAAGCTACTAGGCTAACGCCACTGTTTTCCACTGGCTCTGTGTCAGGGTCTTCTCAAGGTCAAAGTCATAATCACAGTTCTGTGTGGCACAACGAACATACCCAAATAGTGTCCACTAATACTCACTCACATACAGAGGGAAGCACACTCTTCACAAGCCTCTATGTGCACTTGTTGTCCCAGTTCAGCCTCTCTAGGAATGTGCAGCTGCTCTCGCTCTCTCCATGTCTCACTCTTTCTCTCTCCTGGCCCTCTTCTCCCCCTCCCTCAACCTCTTTCCAGCCACTGGATTCTGGCTGCATCAGAACAAAGGCACTAATGCAGATTTTCCGAGTCAAAGGTGGCAGACCCTGATTCAGCAAGCTGTCCTTTTCCTCTACATGTAGCCCTGTGTTCAGAGACCCCCTGATTTTAAAGAGCAGACCAGTTATGAGTCTCCTTTTAGTACTGATCAGCACATTAGAGCAGACAGGATCTCTTTCCTTGAAATATGTGGTCAATAACTAAGATGCAGACCACATGTTGTTTAGGCACAGTGTGGACTGTCAGTGCGATATGGGTAAGAGAATATAGTGCAATTTTAAAATTGATTAAGTTTATATTTTTTGTCACTGGCCTACACATAATACCCCATAATGTCAAAGTGGAATTGTTTTTCGAAACTGTTACAAATTAATTAAAAAGGAAAAGCTGAAATGTCTTTAGTCAATAAGGATTCAATCCCTTTTGTTATGGCAAGCCTAAAGAAGAGTAAAAATGTGCTTAACAAGTCACATAAGTTGCATGGACTCACACTGTGTGCAATAATAGTATTTAACATTATTTTTGAATGACTACCTCATCTCTGTACCCCACACATACAATTATCTGTAAGGTCCCTCAGTCAAGCAGTGAATTCCAAACACAGATTCAACCACCAGGGAGATTTTCCAATGCCTCGCAAAGAAGGGGATCTATTGGCAGATAGGTCAACAACAACAAAAAATACAGACATTGAATATCCCTTTGAGCATGGTGAAGTTATTAATTACACTTTGGATGGTATATCAATACACCCAATCACTACAAAGATACAGGCGTCCTTCCTAACTCATGTGCCTTCCTCTCGAAGGAAACCGCTCAGGGATTTCACCATGAGGCCAATGGTAACTTTAAAACATTTGGAGTTTAATGGCTGTGATGGGAGAACTGAGGATGGATCAATAACATTGTAATTACTCCACAATAATTGACAGAGTGAAAAGAAGGAAGCCTGTACGGAATATAAATATTCCAAAGCATGCTTTCTGTTTGCAACAAGGCACTAAAGTAATACTGTAAAAAATGTGGCAAAGCAAGTAACTTTTGGTCCTGAATACAAAGTGTTATGTTTGGGGCAAATCCAATACAACACATTACTGAGTACCACTCCATGTTTTCAAGCATAGGGGTGGCTGCATCATGTTATGGGTATGCTTGTAATCGTTAAGGACTGGAAATTCTTTTCCAGGATAAAAAATTAACTGAATGGAGCTAAGCACAGGCAAAATCCTAGAGGAAAACCTGGTTGTCTGCTTTCCACCAGGCACTGAGAGATTAATTCCCCATTCAGCAGGACAATAACCTAAAACACAAGGCCAAATCTACACTGGAGTTGCTTACCAAGAAGTGGTCCTCTGTAGCTCAGCTGGTAGAGCACGGCGCTTGTAACGCCAAGGTAGTGGGTTCGATCCCCGGGACCACCCATACACAAAAAAAAATGTATGCACGCATGATTGTAAGTCGCTTTTGGATAAAAGCGTCTGCTAAATGGCATATTATATATATATTATAAGACGGTAAATGTTCCTGAGTGGCCTAGTTTTGACTTAAATCTACTTGAAAATCTATGGCAAGACCTACAATGGTTGTCTAGCAATACTTATGTAAATTAGATAATTCTGTATTTCATTTTCAATAAATTTGCTGAAATGTCTAAACATTTTTTCACTTTATTATAGGGTAGTGTTTGTGTCGATGGGTGAGGAAAAAACAACAATTGAATCAAGTTCAGGCTGATACACAACAAAATGTGGAATAAGTCAAGGGGTATGAATACTTTCTGAAGGTATGAGAATTGCGAGAATTGCGAAATCATTCATTCGCTCAAACTACCCATGTGTAGGCCTATTCATACCTAGAAAGTCACATATGTAGTCCTCATCTTGCAAATCCCCCTCACGGTATAAATAAATGATAGGCTATACTTGTATAAATAATCTTTATGCAAATACAGTTGAGACCTAAAGGTTAGCATGTGTCTCCGTACACAATCGTGTGTGTGTGTAAATATGAACATACAGTATTATGCATGTTTCCTTATGGCTCCCTCATGTCTTTTGCAGGCGTCTGTGTGAACACCAGTACGGTAACTCCCCGCGGGTGCGTATCAACGGCCATGTGGCGGCCCGCTTCCCCTTCATCCCTCTGCCCCTAGACTACATCCTGCCAGAGCTGCTGAAGAACGCCATGAGGTACCAAAACACTTTCTCCTTCTAACCAACAAACTGACACCATCTCAGTCACATGAAATACACCTTGTGAGTTGTTCTTGTTCATCACCAAACAGAAATCTCACACAGAAATGTGTAATCAAACCAACATTGCATTTCAGACATGGTGTAGCCAACATTGTGACACGTCACAGTCGATGTAAAACAGGGCCTGCGACACGTCTGCTGTCCGTCACCTGTCAGTCCCCAAGCCTTCGTAACGGGGACTTTTAGAATGATCTATGACCTTATGTCATGACAATGGTCTGTAATAACTGAGCCAGCAGATGTAGGCCAGTAGTGTTTTTCTTGCATGGGAACATTGTATAGCCTAACAGGCCTAAGATGGAATCTTAGGGGGAGGGGCTCTGCTGGTTGTCATTAGTTGGTGTTATGTAAGAGTTCTGGTAGCTCCTCTGACTGGTTGTGTGTTCATAATTTTTTTTAGTGTGTGACTCCCATAGTGCTGCAACATGTACAATATATAGGTGATCTATCCCCCGTTTCCCTGCTTTTCTGCCTGTCTTCCGCTTTTATCTTGAAGTTCTTGGCTCAGCTGAAAGTAGGTCAAATGTATGTTGTTAAGGGATACTTCAGGATTTTGGCAATGAGGCCCTTTTATCTACTTCACCAGAGTCGGATGAACTTGTGGATACCATTTTTTATGTCTCTGTGTCCGGTATGAAGGAAGTTCGAGGTAGTTTCGGGAGCCAATGCTAACTATCAGATACCAATAGACTTCCAGTCAATGCACTAACGCTAATTAGCAATTGCGCTAACGCAGAGACATAAAAATGGTATCCATGATTTCATTTGGCTCTGGGGGGTAAAATATCCCTTGTATCCCTTTCGTGCTATTTGACTTTTCCTGGTAGTCAGCGGTGACAGCATCTGTGGGTCCAGCTAATATATGATCTGTGAATGGAAACATGAGGATCTATTCAATGTATAGGCCTAGTGGCACATTACAAGTCAGAGTTGGAACTCTTGCCCAGCCGGGTAGCCTACATTTTGTTACGTGTGCTTTCCTGAAGCACAAATCATTGTCTATTGTCTTCAATGGCAGGTATTCATCTTTCTTGTCTTAAATCATTATGATAAAACGGTATCTTGAAGCTTTTTGTACTCAAGACATGAACGAAAGTTGGGCATTTCATTTTATCAGGAAATGTTGATTGGCCACAACTTCAACCACATAGCTAGCAAACAAATATTGTCACAATGGCCCTTTTTTGGGGGGGGGTCACGCCTCCTCGAATCCCTCCCACTGGTAACTCAAGCCCCCTAGAACCCCCTGCCCATCCACCCCACTGTCCTTTCTCACCATGGCAGTGACCTGACTGTGCAGGCCCCAGACCCCATCTTTCTTCTGGAACATTGTGTCCTTGGCAGGAGGTCTTGGCCCAAACCCAACTGCGTTCCTTCTGGACTAATAGGGGTGAATCTGAACTTTGAATGCGAAAGGGACACTGTTGGTGGTGTTGCACAGCCAGAGAGAGCGCCCTTGAGAATTTAAAATGGAGTTTGTGGTTGTTCCCTGGTAGTTTTAAATAGCTTATTTCCCTCATCCCTTTTCCCTTATGACTTATTGTCTGACAGGACATCAGACTCCACGATAGCCATTTTACGACTATACATAACTAAATCCCTAGTATGACCTCTCCTCTAGTGAAGTATTAAGCAGTGTGCTACTGCTCTTGTAGCCTGGTTGCCTGTTTAGCTAACATTCCACTCCTTGTCATATACCACAGGCTACTGCTCTTGGTGGTCAAATGTTGCCCTGGCACTCTAACTTGTGAGAGGGTTGCTAGGTTGTGTGTGTGTGTGTGTGTGTGTGTTAGCAGACAGATGTGTGTTCAAATAAGATTCTAATCAGCCATTAAATCCAATGAGGAACATTTTCTATTCTTGGAGCCCTTTGCAGACAGACCATTCACTCTGACTCATGTTCCTCGTTCCCAGAATGCTGTGTTTCAGTGTGCATGATCATTACACAAGTGTCATCTACCAGTGAATCCCTCAACAATCCTGCTAACAGATTCTGTGTCAGGTCACGTTAAAGTCCACAGAGGCTAATATCCTCACTCTGCCTGCCCTTGACCTCCCCTCTACTTGTGTCCCCACAGGGCCACCATGGAAAGCCACCTCGACACGCCTTACAATGTACCTGATGTCGGAGTCACCATCGCCAACAACGACGTGGACTTTATCATCAGGTGAGTGGGTTACCTTCGGCACACTACGTGGGGATCTTTTACCTCTATCTACTCAAGACTCTGGGCTTAGCTGTTTGAATGGGAAACCTGACACCTCATCAGGGGGAGTGTTTCTAAGCTGCACTCTTATAAGGGCCCAGTGTGGTCGCCATGGGAACAGGGGTTCCGGTCCACGGTGAAAGCACCATCAGGAGACTTCTGCTACTCTAGTGCCGTGTTTAAGAACCGTAAATGGATGTTAACACTGATTCTAGTATCCTGATGGCTAATGTCCAATCGCTGGAAAATAAACGTTGAACCCTGATCAAAGCTTTAATCGCAGAGGGACATCAGGGAATGATGTGTCTTTGTTTTTACTGAGACGTGGCTTACAGACAATACACTCGACTCAGCGATTCAACCAGACGACATCTCCATACTCCGAATGGCTTGAACGGCAGCTTCTGGTAAGTGGGGGGGTGGGGCTTTATGTTTCCTCAGAACAATTCCTGGTGTACCGAAGATGGAAACATCGAGCTCCTGTTCCCCCCAGATCTGGAGTTTGTTGCTAAAAAACCCTGGATGAACAGAGATATCTGTACAATGTTGAGAGCCCGTACTGCAGCATTTAATGTCAGCAGAATGAACCCAGATGACTCGCGACACAAAAGGCAAGCAGGTACGGGCTCCGCAAAGCCATTGGGGACGCAAAAAGACAATAGACTCAAACTTGAATTGATGTTCGATAACTCCAACTCGTGTTGCATGTGGCAAGGACTACAGACTATCACAGGCTACAAAGGAAAATCCAGCTGTGTGGTGCCCACTGACGCCTCCCTCCCAGACGAGCTTAACACCTTCTATGCTCTCTTCCGAGCCATCCAGGAAGACCAGATGCTTTCACTCTCTGAGGCTGACTTGAGGGAAAACTCTTGAGTGAATACTCACAAAGCCGCCGGTCCAGATGGCATCCCCTCAATGTGGGCTGACCAGCTTGCAGGCGTCATCTCGGACATCTGCAACCTGTCCCAGGCTGTAGTCTCACCTGTTTTAAGTGGACCACCATCATTGCCCAAGAAAAACAAGGTGACGTGCCCAAATGACTATCGCCCCGTCACGCTCACCTCTGTCATCATGAAGCACTTCGAGGCTGGTCATGACCCACATCAATTTGCCTACCGCTCCAACAGGTCCACGGAAGATGCCATTTCCATCGCTATTCCCAAGGCCGTAACACATCTGGACAAGAGGAACACCTATGTGAGAATTCTGTTCATTGACTACAGTTCAGCATTCAACACTATTTTTCCCTCCAAGCTTGACACCAAACTCCAGTCCTGGGTCTGGACACCACCCTCTGTAACTGGATCCTGGACTTCCTGACGGGCAGACCACAGGCTGTGAGGATTGGCAACAACACCTCCACACTTGTTCTTAACATGTGGGGCCCTCCAGGGGTGTGTCTTCAGTCCTCTGCTCTACTCCCTGTTCACCCACAACTGTGTGGCTTTGCACGACACCAACTCTATCATCAAGTTTGCTGACGACACCACGGTTGTAGATCTAATAACCAACAAAGACAAGTCAGCCTATAGGGAGGAGGTAAGTGAACTGGCATTGTGGTGTCAAGACAACAACCTCTCCCTCAACGTCAGCAAAACAAAGGAGTTGATTGTTGACTTCAGGAAGCAGAGGAGGAAACATGGCCCGATCCACATCAATGGGACTGCAGGAGAGAGAGAGAGAGAGAGTCACAAGTTAAGTTCCTCGGCGTCCACATCACCGAAGACTTGTCATGGACCAACAACACCACCACTCTTGTCAAGAGGGCGCATGCCTCCCTGGATCCTCTCCAAATACTACCTCTGCACCACCGAGAGCGTCCTGACCGGATGCATCATGGCCTGCTACGGGAATTGCTCCGTCCACGACCGCAAGGCCCTCCAGCGGGTGGTGAAGACAGCCCATTACATCACTTGGACCGTGCTCCCACCCATTAAGGACTTTACTCAAAACGGTGCCTGAGGGAGGCACGCAGCATCAAGGACCCCACACACCCCAGCCACAAGCTGTTCTCTCCCTTACAGTCAGGCAGACGGTATCGTCGCGTTAGTTCTGATACCAACAGGCTCAGAGACAGTTTATATCTACAAGCCATCAGACTGCTGATCACTTGAACTGGACTGACCACCTGCTCTGATTCTCCGCACCTTAGCACACATGCACTCACTCATGCACACACACACACACGTGTGTGTATATGTATGTGTATATATTTATGTGTATACACATACAGTTGAAGTCAGAAATTTACATACACTTAGGTTGGAGTCATTTAAACTAGTTTTTCAACCACTCCACACATTTATTGTTAACAAACTATAGTTTTGGGAAGTTGGTTAGGACATCTACTTTGTGCATGACGACACAAGTAATTTTTCCAACAATTGTTTACAGACCGATTATTTCACTTATAATTCACTGTATCACAATTCCAGTGGGTCAGAAGTTTACAGACACTATGTTGACTGTGCCTTTAAACAGCTTGGAAAATTCCAGAAAATGATGGCTTTAGAAGCTTCTGATAGGCTAATTGACATAATTTGAGTCAATTGGAGGTGTACCTGTGGATGTATTTCAAAGCCTACCTTCAAACTCAGTGCCTCTTTGCTTGACATCATGGGAAAATGAAAAGAAATCTGGCAAGACCTCAGAAAAAAATTTGTAGATCTCCACAAGTCTGGTTCATCCTTGGGAGCAATTTCCAAATGCCTGAAGGTACCAC